GCTCTACGGACTAAACTATATGAATCCTTGTGGGCCCACCTGTGTGGGTGAGCAACAAAATAAACCAGCTGGGTACTTGGATTCAAAATGTGGGGCATTGTGCACTCTCCTACAGAGAGAACGCCCCAGTAGCAGAGTTAAGCTGTAGTATAATGTTAGGAAGGGATGCGGGTGGCGCTGTGGGTAAAACCTCAGCGCCTAGGACTTGCCGATCGCATGGTCGGCGGTTCGAATCCCCGCGGCGGGGTGCGCTCCCGTCGTTCGGTCCCAGCGCCTGCCAACCTAGCAGTTCGAAAGCACCCCTGGGTGCAAGTAGATAAATAGGGACCGCTTACCAGCAGGAAGGTAAACGTTCCGTGTGCTGCGCTGGCTTGCCAGATGCAGCTTGTCACGCTGGCCATGTGACCCGGAAGTGTCTTCGGACCGCGCTGGCTCCCGGCCTATAGAGTGAGATGAGCCCGCAACCCTAGAGTCTGTCAAGACTGGCCCGTACGGGCAGGGGTACCTTTACCTTTATAATGTTAGGAATATAGGTTGTTGCACCATTTTTATTCTGTTCAGCTGCCCACAGCAGCTGACCACGTTCTACTCCTCTTGCAATCAGCAGACTACACACTGCTAAGTTTAAAATGCCTTACTTACAGATTCAAGGTCTAAATAATGCATTGTACCATGCAGCAGCAAGGCTAATACAGGCATATAACACTCTTGGGTAGAAAGTACAAAATAGAGTTCCAAGCATGTGCTATAAGTTTGGGAGCAAGCTTACACATGTCCATATTGTTGCATGATAGAGAGACTTCACTTCCTCCCTCTCCAGAAGAGAGGGGTGTGTGACCTAGCCGAGTCTATTTAGCAATATAACTCTGTGGTCCTTTACCCCTTCATGCACTAACTAGCCCTATGCTTGCTAGTTGTATTTTTTTGCAATTTCCTACCCATCCTGAATGCTGCATACCATGGCTGCCCTTCAACAGGATGGACAGGTAGAGGTTGGTCCAGTCTCTTTCCACCCCACAACCCACCCACCCCACTCTATGCAGTTGCTGGCACGCATTGGAGGGCCCTTAGTGAAGTTATCGTCTTCCTATGCTCCTTTCCTCTTTCTACACAGTGATCATCACAGTGATAAACTCCAGGACCTTGTTTACTGAAGAAACAAAAACTTAGCAAGACCCCCGAGTAATAATGAACTGCTTTGTGTATTTATTTAGAGGGTAGATATTATTCCTTACTGGCACTATCCAATATAGAGGTTTTTATACTTTTAATATTTGCTTTTTATATTGTTACACACATAAACCATCCATCCATGCATGCAGCAGTAATACAGGAAAAAAATAATGTAACAAAAAACAATATGCATAGGAGTATTGCGCCAGAGGGTATATGATAAAAAGGGCCACAAGTTCATGATAAAACACAGGACAACAGTCAGATATTAAAATAATAGGTGCCTTGGTGATAAGTCCAGCCAAAATGTTCCAGAGGTTTAACGAAACCTCCCCGACTAATCACATAGTGCAAAAAAGGAGCCAAATTGACGCAAGAGCACTGTGCTCTCCTCTAAGAGCACAGTGGCTTTGTGTTAATTTTCCAGCTAGTGCCATGAACCGTCCTGAGATCTACTGATGAAGAGCGGTATAAAAATTTAAAAAAATAAAAGAACCACCCACCAGCACCTTACAATCAACTTGGTGAACAATTCCCAGTCCTGTGGCAGCTAGTAGAAAATGAATTATATCTTTGCATGACAGCCCAGATGTAGACTTTGAGCCCTGGGTCCAAAAAAACCCCCACCTATCTGGTTCAGAATAGCAGTGATATCTTGAAAGATTCTTTGCCAGAATCTTTGCCAGTATCCTGGAACACCACATATGAAACTCTGTGGCCAAATGGTCACATTCACACCAACACAATAGATTCAAAGTGGTGTTTTATACCTGTTTTATTTGCTTTTTGGTAAGTCAATTTGAGTTTCAATTTTGTAAAAACAACAACTACTGTATTTTTCGCTCTATAACACGCACCAGACCATAACACGCATGTAGTTTTTAGAGGAGGAAAACAAGAAAAAAATATTCTAAACGAAACAGTGGATGTATGATTTTTGTGGTTCATGCTGTGGCCACAGACATGTGATCTGACGGTGAGTTTGGGGTAGCCCAATGCAAAAATCCTGAGGATCCATGTGAATCCATGCTAAAGTCGCCCTAAAGTCGCAGGGGCGCTGGGAGAGTGAACGGGAAGCAAGACAAGGAGAACAATGCCCCCCCCCCACAGAGTATCAATCCTAAAGTCGCAGGAGAGCCAGGGCGCTGGGAGAGTGAACGGGAAGCAGCAGGAGGAGAACGATAGCTCAAGCACACACACACACACACACACACACACAGCCCCTACAGTGGCTAATCCAAAATCGGACAGCAAAAAACTGCAGGCAGGGACATAGAGCACGGGGTTGTTTTAAAGCAGCCAACCCCGCTCTGCTTCTCTCCCTCCTCCCCGGCTCGGCTCGCTGACAGGAGCCGCTTACACCCGCTTTGCTGTTTCAAAGCGAGCCACGGACTGCTCACAACTGCAGCAGATTCCCCCGCCATCCGTAGGCATTCGCTCCATAACACACAGACATTTCCCCTTACTTTCTAGGAGGAAAAAACTGCGTGTTATGGAGCGAAAATTACGGTAATTAGGGCCAGCCCACCCATTAGGCAAGGTGAAGTGACCACCTGAGGTAACAGGATCCACCTGGGCAGCAGATCCCAATGTTGATATTTCTTCCCCACTTGTTCCTGATGTAGATCTTCCTTCACTCCTCCTTCCCTGGCAGGGAGGGGGACCACCATTTGGGGGCCTGCCTCAGGTGCCAAAATATTTTGGGCCAGCCCTGCAACTAATAAATATAATAAATAATAGATGCTTCGTGTCACATCAATATGTACATACATGTATCACTGCAGCAGTGGTTTTTCTTTTCCAGGGCACTGCTTCACACACAAATGTAATCCTAATTAATACACTTTTGATGGTACTATTCCTGTAGAATCTGCAGTGAAAGTTCTCTATGCTCCTGGGGCATTCCATCTGGATTTTCACATATTTGGTGGGTCGCCTCCAGATACCTAAAAGGTTAGGACCTTTTAGATCTGCAGTGGAACTATTACTTCGCTGAGAAAGAGGACATCCACCCAAGTATCATTTTTAGAGTGGATTACTGAATCCTAGGAGGTAATTTTTAATGAAGCATTTATCCAAATTTGATCCCACCTATGTTCTTCAATCTGACATTTGAAGTCACCCTCCCAGGATATCCTAAGACCTTAGGAGGAGCCCATTGCCTGGCTTGTAAATACAGTGGTACCTCGGGTTACAGACGCTTCAGGTTACAGACACTTCAGGTTACAGACTTCGCTAACGCAGAAATAGTACCTTGGGTTAAGAACTTTGCTTCAGGATGAGAACAGAAATCGCGCGGCGGCAGCGGGAGGCCCCATTAGCTAAAGTGGTACCTCAGGTTAAGAACAGTTTCAGGTTAAGAACAGACCTAACCCGAGGTACCACTGTATTGAATATCAAGCCTTTAAGAATTCATATATTTGAGCAGTTAAGGATCCTAAAGTTTAGAGAACATAAACAATCCCCCTGACAAACTAGATTTAGCAAATGTTGTAAACTGAATTGATGGAATACATTTATGTGCTTTATTTCCAATTATTTAGGAGGTGTATTGTGAAGTGGGCAAACAAACCAGCCCTCTCATGTTAAAAGTTCTCATCTCCACTACAGAAACGGCAAGCGGGAAGAAACAAGATTTCTTCGCTGATCCCTCTTCTCCTAGCTTGGTTTCTTAATTGCCTTTTTGCGCCATCATAGGTTTGTTGCTTTTGATCTCAAACCTCTGCCTTTTTTCCCCTCTGGTTGCAAGAGACAGCAAATGTTGGCAAAACTCCTGTTTTCATCTTTTGAAGAACTAAACAAAACTCCAGTTCACTGTTTTCATTCAAACGAGGCTTCTCTGTGTTTTTCATGTTCATATTATCCATCAAAGTTGCAGCATCTGTTGGGGGGGAAATGATGGCAAGGAAGGAAGGGAGGAAACTCTGGTTTTCAGAAGCTTGGACCTTCCATTGCATTTCATGGCAAGTGGGCAGTCAGTGGGCTTTCTCTAGTGATCCTGCAATACTGCTGCCCCTTCAGTTTCTATTATTAGGGGCAGCAAGAATGTCAATAGCCAGTCAATGGAAATCTTTTTCACCTCCCTCGGTTGTTTGGCTTGGTAGAGTCCGAGGTATAGCTCTCTCTGAGCATCTCACATATTTAAAAAAGTTAAGTAGGGGAGGATCCAAATCAGATCATTTTTATGCTATTTGAGCTAAATTTTTGACATACATGAATACAACTACAGACAGAACATAGACCACTAATGGTCCAATTAAGTTTGTGGAGAAGATATATTTTAGAATACTGAGATAAAGTATTTCTTGATGTTGTTGCTTGTGATGATAAAAGATGCATGAATTAATATAAGGTATTATTTTCCATTTTCTTCCCTTCCCTGTAATCCATCCTAGTATTTCTCTTTCCCCCTACCTTTGAATCAGTATGTTTGATGTTACAGTACTTGTATTTTGTCTTTAATTTAAAAATTAATAGTTTATTTTTTAAAAAAAAACAAAAACCTCCTAACTCTTGGCTCAGAGGAAAGAAGAACAAGGCACTCTCAAAACAGAAAATCATCCTACGGACAAGTTTACTGGGTAGGTTTAAAAGTTTAGTTCATTGCAATGTAGATGGAGGTGGACGATTGCCACTATACTGTGGATGGTCTGTGTAAAATCTTCACTGGGAAGACATTTCAAGGTCCCTGATTAACTTTATAGCTACAATTCACCTGAAGAAGCCTGTCTGACTCTTGCCAAGTGAATCCAGTCTGATTTGGTGAATATTCAGGGATATTCGTCAGCAGCACATATGAAGACAACAAATGACAGACTCAACAGTACTTGGAGAAGGCAATTCCATTTTAACAAATACACACTTTAAAACTTTATTTATATAAAAATCATTTCACTTTAAAAGCATTACAGAGTGAGCACAGGACTCAAGGAACAGCAGGATGTTCCCCTCCCCCAGGGGTGCAAAGGAAAAGCAAAACAAAAGAAGTCAGTGAATTATTAGTCCCTCTTACAGCATTGAATTGGTCAGTGGGGAAGGGGCTTTTTTTTGGTTTATCTGGAAATAAAAAAGGAAATAGTGTTTTACATTAGAAAAAGTCAAGTGACTCCTCCCTCAGAAGGCTGATTTGCATGTTTGATCCCTCCCACTCCCCCCAAAAAGGAAAGAAAAACTGGGATAGGAGCATATCAGAGGCACCGAAAAATCTTCCACTTTAGGTCTTCCCCCACCCCCTCTTGTGCAATGTGGATTGTTAGTGTGGAGAGAATACCAGGAGTTGAGGGCAACAGAGTTCCTTCCAGTTACTAGGCAGAGGCAGAGCTTGGGAGGCTGGGAGGGAGGGAAAGACTGCAGTCATCTTCCGTAGAAAAAAAGAAAGGTGGGAGTCACCAATATGGTGCCCAGAGCTAGTCACTATTGTCCCCTTTACTGCTGCTTTGCAGATTAGGACAAAGATTGTAAGCAGACCCTCTAAGTTCCTCTTGCTCCCCCAAACAGGTGAGCTATTAAGGTGCACAGCGTAACCCTCGCCTAACCATGCTTTCACACCTCTCCCCAACCCATGAGCCCTTTAGGTGGTTGACAGATTCATTCCTGATCTCTCTCACTCAACTAGGATGCACCACGGCAATTACAATTAGGATTCTGGTTCTACTTCAAGGAGGGGGGGAGAGGGAGGGAGAGGGAGGGAGGGAGAGAGAGAGAGAGAGAGAGAGAGAGAGAGAGAGGAAGCAGGAGCGCAACTCTGTGCCAAAATATCCATCTCCCCAGCCCAAGCCCTTTTGCCTTTCTCACACAAAACTACCAAGGGCACAAAGCTTTTTCACAGTGGCGAAGAAAGGCACGTGTACATAGTGACAGATTTAAGAGTTTTCATTCCCCTGCCTGCATGGGAGGATTTGGGCAATATTTACAGACAAGTCTTCCCTCCCTCACAAACTTTCCACATCACCCAGCTTCCCAACTTCAACAGCCTTCTGCACTTTTTGCAGCCCAACCCAGGCACCCACTGCTTAAGCCAAAACTACCCACCAGCAACCCCAAAACCAGACACAGCCAATGTGGTTCCTCTGCTCTCGACAGCCAACATCACTGCTTCTAGGCATGGAGACTTCCGTCCCTTTCACCAACTTTCATTTAACGTACTCTGGTCCGATTCCACCTTTCCCTCAACCCCCCTGCACCCCAAACTGCTCTTCTCCCACAAATAAATAGCTTCCTAGGCACTGATTTAATCCCTCTCAGATTAAAACTACCAAGAAGCAAGAAAACGGGAGGAAACAGATGCAAACCCACACATTCTTCCTCAGCCTATGAGGATACAGAGGGCTGTCATCTCAAAGAGATATTCTTTAAGGCCATCTTGCATCCAGATGGCAGTCACTCACAAGCTGTCCCTCCTTTGTCATCCCCTCCCCCTTCCCTCCCTCCCAAACCACCACCACTACCACCACCAGGAATGTTCCAGTACTTCCAGCATCCTTTGTTGCAAGAAAAAAAAAGAGAATCACACACAAAAATATATTCTATAGGCTAAGAGAAGGAGGAGACTGGTCCTCTGAGTTCTTCTCCATGGAGAGAGAAGACACTGCATTTAAGAAAACAAAAAAAACCTAGTTCCAGTATGGTAGGTTTTCAGCTGAGATCCATCTGCACCATGGGGCTTCCATCATCTGCTGCAGATGAGAAGCTTGTAATTTCATAGTGTTCTGCCTTAGTTGCTTGAGTGAGATCCATCGGAGTATTTGGTCTTCAGGAATTGCTGCACTTTTGAAAAATACAGACAAAAAGAAGTGTCCAGGGAATTGGATGGGCGCAGCCGGCTACAGGGAGGTGTGAGGCCCTGTGGGCTCAGGCGGGGCCAGTCATTTGGCGCTGGGTGGCTGGACTTGTGTGCCCAAGAGATTTTTTAAAAAGAGAGAGAGTCAGTCCATTTCACCACAAAGTGTTATACAAAGTATGTTATAAACCCAAAACAGAGAAGGCAGATGGTGGCAGCTCTAGATCTTCTGCTGTGGAGAGAGACAAGAAAGCCAAGGTTAACATAGCCACAAGTCCAATGGCAACAAGGAGAAGATTTATACAGAGCAAGCAGGCATGGAATCAAACAATCCAAACTCCAAGTGTCCTCAGTGAAGCGGGTCTCTGAAAAGTGGATTGTTAAGCAACGTCCCAGATTTTGCCCCTGCAAATGCTTGATTTATTGATTTGAGGAACAGGCCGTATTTCCCTTTCCCCTGCTTTTGGATACAGAAGCAGAAGAGTACCAAAGCCACGGGACATACCATAGGAGGATAAAGCAACGCATCACTCTCCGCATAGGATTCCTGCCCTTCCTCCTGCTGTAGACACACACATTGTTAGTAAGGACGGGTTGTTACGTAGGAAGAGGAGAAAAGGGAGCAAGAAGTCTAACTGAGAAGTCACTGGGGAAAATGAAAGAGAGGCTGAGCTGAAGGTGTGAATAGTCAACAAAGACATGGGTTACGTGTTTAGTTAACAACTCTGCAGCCCCCCAAAACACACTGGTGTGGGGGGCGGGGAGAGATGGTTTGTATCAACACTATTCCCAATTCTATTCAGTTCTAGAAATCCTTGGTTTTCTAAGCTTTGAGGGTTTTGTTTGTCTTTAAACCTGTCAAGGGGTATATAAACTACAAAATAAGCTTGGACAGCAAGCTTCTCTTGGTCTCGCCCCATCTTTTTTGCTACCCGTGCCCAGAAACACCTATGCCCCAGAGGTCTCCCTCAATGGGCATATCCCAGTCTTTACCATCAGTGGGGCTCCCTTCATAGATTCCATTTCTTCTCCAGATCGTTCCAATGTCCTATTATGGTCCCGCTCATTCAGTGTAGAGTAGTTGTCTGAAATGAAGAGGAAGGCTTGATATGAGGAAACGTCACATGGGCCCAACGTAAGCAAGGACACACTCTTCCCTTCCTCTGCGTCAAGAGTCAACTTACATCTCCCCAGCCAGCCAGGGAACAAGCATCATCATCTCCTTCCTTGCTGATTTACAGATGAGAAGACGTGTGCACACAGAGCACTGACCATCATCCCCTCCGCATTCTTTTCTCTCCACTCGGTAGTTCTCCCTACTAGCTAGCTCAATGGAACTGGGGGGAAAAGAGGACTCACCACAATGCTGCCTAGCCCTGGGACACCCTAGAGTGTAATAAGCCCGCTAATTTAAGGGAGAGAGACATATGCCAGCCTTCGTTTCTGAAAAATCTGTGTCAACCTGAAGATAACGAGAATGTATTAGCTGTAAGCATCTAGAGGGGAAAGATGAATCCTGTTTCATTTTGGAAAGCCTAGAAGGGATCTATCATTGGCTGATTGCCTACATAAAAGCAAGGCTATCCCCCTAATGCAGCTACCTACTGCGTTTTATTAGCAGGATACAAGCACACTGAAGCCAGAGAAACTAAACTCAACTTACCTTACCAGTAACAGCACTGGTTGTGCTTTATTCTTATCAAAGCTAGCCTTCCAGCTACTAAGTGGCAGGAGGATTAGCTACCTCTGAGGGGTTGATGGACAGCACTGGCAAGAACCTAGCACAGCATCTGCACAGCTGGACTGGCTATGTATTGGTGTGTTCACATGTACAGGACTGAGTTAGATGACAAAGCACCTGTGGCCCACTAGGTTTTGGAGACAGGTTTAGAACACTGCACAGCTATACACAGAAGGGTGCTGGAGTTTATCCAGCAGCAATGAATGAATTAATGAATGAATGAATCAGTCAATCAACCAACCAACCAACCAACCAATCAATCAATCAATCAATCAATCAATCAATCAATCTCTACCTCTCTCTTACCACTGAATTTCCCATACCTGGTCCCATGTTGCCCATTTGGATCTCCTCTCGAGAAGATTTCTTGTCTGCACAGAATATAAAAATCAGAGCAGTTAGCAACAAAGTCCTTGCTCCTTGTTTTGACTAATGTGGGACTTGTCTTATCTATAGCAGCATTAAGTGTAAGCCATTCAATTAAGGTCACAGAGCCTGCTGGCAATTTTGGTCATTCCCTTTCACTATGCTATAAATACTGATTAGGAGCAAATATTAATAGTCTTAAAATCCTTCTACAGATTGCAACTTTCGACAGTTTTGAATGATGACGTTTTGTGTTGCTGCAACACTAAGCCACCCTTTCAAAAAACAAATGCATTCACTCTTTTTTTTATCTTGCTCTTTGACTAATGGGCTCTTGCTGCAGCTCAGTGATAATGAAGAGTGTCTTAAACAAAATAAACATCATGTTAAAAGTTACAACTAATCTTGCACTTACCTCCTTTTTGGTTCTTATCAATGAGGGGCAAGGTGCTGTCATCAAAGGAGTTGCTACCCTGGCTTCGAGTACTGTTACTCCGGTTCACCTGAAAAGAAGGAACCAGCCGGTATATTTAAGCTGCCATTAGTGCTGATGTTCCTAGCTACCTAAGTATTTCCTCAGCACTTCAAAGCATAGGCTGCCATCCATGGGGGCTCTGGGTGCACCCCAACACAACACAAACACGCCCATTAAAGAGGACAGGGCTGCAGAAACAAGCTTTCGCAGATGTTGAATGCAGCCTGCCCTGAGAACCTAGGCCTTCAACTGAAAGGCTGGATTCACCCTTTGCTCTTTCGACACAGTGTGGCGTAGAGGTGAGAACGCTGGACGAGGGAGGAATCCATTTTGAACCGATTTGTACATAATTTTGGCAGTTCTGACCTCATCAAGCTTTGCTCTTACACTGGACCACCCTTGTGCATCAAGCGCCTGAACCCAGTCCAATTATTTATATGCAAAATTATACAAAAGAAACAACATTGCACTATGTCAAGTGTTTGATTGGGGGAAGGATTTCTGCTTGCCAGTCAAAATGACACCCCCCCTCCTCCCCCACATGCTGTTCTGGGGGCTCCCCTGACCTCTCCAGTGTCAATTAGGAGGGCGTGTGGGGACCCTCCATTGCAAAAGCCTTTCTGCTGATGGGGGGCTCATTTGTTGAAACCCACCATCACACGTATAAAAGTCAAAACATAAAAGTTGTGCTATATTTCTGCGGCATAATTTTGTATGTTAATATAACTGTATTTGTATAGTTATATGCAGTGCAGTATTTTTTGTTTATGTGCTGTTTACTTTAGGAATCTTAGAGTGTACGTCTGTACACATATTAAGACTTTGCATAACACGCGAGAATTGTTTGTGTTTTTAGTGGAACTGAAGTGGGGAGAACTCTCTTGGCGAGTGAGGCGGGGATTAGAAAAAAAATCCATGTGGATAAGCTCAACATTGGGGTTTTCAGAAAATTCCATCCCTGGTTTAACTCCCAGATACCTGGAAGTCAGACTTCTTCCATCCTTCCTTCTCCAGTGGCTTCCGCAATTCCTTATACCCCCAGATTGTCTGCAGTACAAGAGCAGCTGCTCTGATTTCTCTCTCTGAGCGGTTCCTAGGAGGAGAGAACAGAAGATTATTACAAAAGAACAAACAGCCCAGCCCATAAGCTTCCCAAGAGAAGGATGGGGGGGTTGTAGGAATCTGTGCAGGCACCCTCTACTTAACCCCCTTGGGAGCTGCACCCACCCAGATTTATTGATCAGCACCAGTTTCTCAATGCCTTGCGTCTCCCGCAGTTTCTTGGCTGCTTCCAAGTTATCCAGAATGACCTCATTTATGGTATTTAACACAGAGACCACAGTATCTTCAGAGAGGTTCTTAGCCGGCGTTTGCTGTCCCCCTGGCAAATTCTTCACTAAACTGGGGATGGCATGCTTGCCTAGGAAAAGGAGAAGATCAGAGTTTGTTAGGGGAAAAGGAACAATATAAACAGAAGTAATCAGAAGACAGAAGCAGAATTTCCCAACAGACTCTTTTAGACCTTGAAGGCCATGAAACTGATATAAGGCACAGGCTGAATATAGCGGAGAGGGAGGATTCTGTTCTGAGCTGTTCAAGGGAATGCAACTGTCAGAACTTCATTCATTCACCCAGCAGAGCAAGTTGCCAGCCAAGCCTCATTTAGCTAGGTGGCAGGAAAAGCCATAACAAAATGCTAGTGCTCTTGTTGGGACTACAACGCCCATCAACCCTTACTTTGGAGCCATGTTGTTTGGAGTAGACGGAAATTGAAGTTTATATAAATAGATATATACTGGAGAAGCCTAGAAACCCTCAAAACACTTGAACCTTGCATCACTTTATGCCAGTTTCCCCAAATCTGGTGCCTTCTAGTGGCTGTAGGATGGACTCCCAGGACCCCTAAACTTGGGCCATGCTGACTGGGGCTGATGGAGGGCACCAGGTTGGCAAAGGCTTTTCTCGCCAACCTCCACCTTCCAATATTCTATGATGCTTGATCAATAATGATCACAAACCCACAAACCATTATCCTCCTGCCTATGGGCACAGGGACCCTGACCACCAATGCGTTCCCTGGCGCTGAGCATCTTTCAAGAAGCAGCATGAGTTGTGTTTGGCTTGGCCGATTCTTGGCATAACTCAGCTAGCCTGTGTTTTGTAAAGGATTCCCCCCCGCCGAAGTGTTACCCACACCCAACTGCTGAGACAGGACAAGAAATCCACCAAAGTCCCTTCCCTTCCTGCTCTCACCTATCAGCTCTTTGTTACGGGAATCCACTGCCAGGTTGCGCAGGGCTCCAGACGCAGCTTTCACCACACGCTCGCTGTCATGAGTCAGCAGGTCCGCAATGGCAGAGAGGCCTTTCTCCTGGCGCAACGCAGAGCGGATGTACCGACCGTACTGCAAGGAGAGAAAACACCAGACACTTGGCTTTAGTGAAAGAGCTACATGAGAAGCTATTAGATCTACCCAAAAAGTGCGCTCCATACCCAGGAATAATTTTTCCCCCCTGAACAAAATGCCCCTGGCCTTACCTCTGCGTTCCCACAACTTTAGTACAGTGAGAGTTTTCTTAGGAATTCCCATAGCAAAAGTCCACAGTCAATCCAATGCGGAGACCAGCTGTTTGTTTTTATAGTTAACACCCAGCTTGCCAAATGCCTTCTTAACCACAATGTTGACTTCACTATTCCACTCCGGAAATTCCCCATCAGGCCGAGACTACAGCCTAGACATGAAAAGCTATCCAAGGGATCCGTGAATGGACGGTCCTTGCAGCCATGAAAGGAGCACAGAGAACATTGCCAGGGACTTCCATGGCTGCTGCCTTCTAAACTGGACCTGCTTGTCCAGTTCAACATGTGCTGGGATGCTAGGAGGGACCAGATGGGACTCCTACTCACTTATGCACAATGAGGCCTCTCTGCTTTGCCCGCAGCCTTAACTATAAACTTTTGCCCAAGATAGGTCTTTTTTAATTAAAGAAGAAGGCGGATCCCAGTTTGCAGTCCCTGCCTCTCTCGGGTGGCCCACTCACCGTCCAACGGCCAGCACACAAATTCTGGATGGCTCCTGCTGAAGCTTCTAAGATAGCTTGAGTTTTGCTCTCCTTCAACAGGGAAATATATATGCGGACGATTTCCGGCTGGAAGAGGAGCTCATAACCTAGCAAAACGGCAGAGAAGGAAGTTTCACGTCAAGCCTGCCAAGCTCCCTTTTAGGTACCCCCCCCCACCAGAAACAAAGGAAGCTGCCTTATGCACTTGGGTTTATTTAGTTCAGTGCTCTGAACACTGATTATGACTCCAGGACCTTCTGCATGAGAAGAAGATGGTTACCACTGAGCTGTAACTCTTCCCCAAAGAGCTCCTCACAATATGGGTGGTGGCCTGGGGGGGGGGGAATAGCAGTGCCCCCTTGGTAAGAAAAAATAAAAAACCCTCCCCGTGGCAGAACTGCCTGCTGCCAACACTGCCTAGCACTAAAATGATGGCAAATATGTATTATTTTCCCCTTAGCATCATACTGTATTTTATTTATTTTTATAATTTTATTTATAGATTTTTAATATTTATATTTAATTTAATATTTATATATTTTATATAAATATAAATAATATAAAAATAAATACATATAGGTTTTGCCAACTGATCTAGACACTGCTGGATCGATGCTATTCAGTTACCTTTCAGGTAAGGAAGCTGCAGCCACAGAGCAAGAATGGCTATTTTCCCAGCACACCTGCGTGCCACACCTTTGCTGAGAAGCTCAAGAATCTCCCACCTTCACCCAAACCCTGTGCACATCTCATGTCCTTTGCCTGCATTAAAGGCTGATCATGTGGGAGCTCACACAACAAGATACCACACAGGAGAAGTAGTTAAAACAAATTTACTCTGCCCACCCCCCATCCAAAAGTGAGAAAGGGGTACCTTTAAGAAGCTGCCTTAAACCAGATCAGACGTTTGTCCATCCAGCTCTGTGTTGTCTATTCTGACTAGCTGTGGCTACTCAGTGTCTCAAGCAGGGAGGCTTCCCTACTATGGGAAATCAGACAAGCCATTGCCCTTGCCCAGAAAAAGGGTAAGAAACATTACCTTTTGCAGGGGTTGGTCTTTTGGGGAAGTCTACGATATCGGTAGAAGGATCCTCTGCCGGTTTTTTACCTTGTAGGGAGGGAAACCCAAACAAACAATATTAGGAAAAGGAACTGGAGAGAGGGAGAATTTCCAAAAGCTCTTCATCACCAACACACTGACCCCCGTACTGTTGGCAATAACTGGCAGTGGATCTCCAGTCACAGAGTCTTTGTGCAGTACTGCCACCAGAGATCCTTCTACTGAAGGGTGGGGAACCTGCGGTCCTCCCTAGGTTGCTGGCCTCCAGTTCTCATGATCCCTGAGCACTGGGCATGCTGGCTGGGACTGGCGGGAGCCGGAGTCCAGCAGCAACCAGAGGGTCATTGGCCTGATCCAGCAGGCTCTACTTCTGCTCTTTCCACCCCCATCCCACCCTTGCTTTAACTGGAGATTCCAGGAATGAATTAACGGATGCAATCTATTCTAAACAATTTACTAACATTTGACTGAACTAAGTACATTGTATATGCGAGGAATGCTTCCTGTGGGGTGGGGGTATAGGGGAATTGTTTGTTATATGTATTTTTAGAAACTGAAAGAAGAACTTTTAAAAATCAGGATTTCTACCACTGAACTATGGTCCCACTCTACTCAATTCAAAACTGCCAAGGCTAGAGAAGCACATAGACTAGCAGCCCTGCACAGCTGTCAAGCAAAACAGGCCTGACTTCTTGCTGTTCCGCACTAACCACGCCACACCAGCATTGAGATTGGGGCCGGCGCTCTCCTGCCTCAGGCAGCTGTTGCACCACACGCCCTGCTCTGGCACTTTCACCACCCGCACCCAGGAAACATGCAGCGTGCAAGTCAATGCAATGTCTTTGGTTAGGGTCCAAGAGGCAGGTTTCCTTGGGAGGCGATACAAACTGAGCATAATAATGCACAGCTGGCGTTCTCCCAATCTGCACCATCTACTCTGTTCAAGAGCCAAGTTTTTTTCAAGTTAACTATTGCAGGGTGGGGGAGGAGTGAATGTCGCAAAGACCAGGAGTGGCACAAGTAAGCAGGAAAGGAAAACAAGCACAGCAGGAAACAGAGAATTAAGGAAAGGGCTCCTCTCGCTGCAGATGTCAGGCACAACGACAAGGAGGTTACTTAGCTGTTTTTTCCATGGGCATTATTATCTCTCCCACCCTCTGACATCTCATGATTTCATGTCTCAAAGAGAAAAGGTCAGTTCACACAGAGAGATTACACTCAGCTGAAAATTACAGACAAGCGGCAGCTTTCTAACAGGCACCCGTATACAATACATGCATCTCCAAACATGCTTTGTCACATTCACATTTTGCACTTGCATCTGAAAAGGTGTGGCGCAGGGGAGACCAGCCTGTGACTCTCTAGAAGTTGCTGGACCCCTGGTTCCCACCATTCTTGACTACTGGGCTATGCTGGTTGGGCCTGACAGGACCCGGCAAACCAGAAATAGCTGGATGCCTACAAAATTCCCCATCACAGGCAGATTTGATGCTAGTCCTCTCTGCACCCAGTGCTCCTTTCCTTGAAGGGAGTTCTTAGGTGCAACCCCAGCAGAATGCAAGACTATGAACTCAGCACTGTCTCCCAAGCAAGGGCAATGTATTCTTCAAACACAGAACAGTACTGTGTGCTCGTGCTACTGGTCACGTTTGGTCACAGCGGCGAGGAGGGCAGAGAAAAGCTTTGGCAGGAGATTGCAAAGTCACATGTTTTATAGAAACAAGCGTGTCCCGCCCCCGCGCACCCCCTGGGAAAAAAGCTCAACTCACCTCTCGAAAACCACTCGTCTTTGGGCGGAGGAGGAGGAGAGGGGAGAAGGGAGGCAAGAGAGTAGAGATGCCAGCAGGATTCACAGGCCATTTGGAAGGAAAGCAAAAGAGAAGGGGAAACAGGCCACAAATTAGTTGAAAACCCCCATCCATCACCTTGATTGACACACCAAAAAGACCAGTCATCAGGCCTTGAGAGACAAAAGAGCAGGAGAGCCAGGAAAAGTTACTGCAGCTGTAGAACGCTTCAGTGGAAAAGCAGCAGCTTGTCTTTATGAGGCCAAGGACAGCTTAAGCAGCACTCAGAAACATCTCTCCCTGCTGTCCTCTAGCCTGACCCCATCTATGCAAGGCTGGGCAGGGAACAAGGCAATCCTACCTTTGCCTTTTTTGGCACCAAAGCAGCTGGCTGCATGGGGACCGGTGTTGTTGGCCGCATTGAGGGGCACTTCCTGGTAACGCTCTGCGTGGGGGATCTCACGGTGCACCTGGTAGGACAGGTTCCTCAGGAGGCAAACGCAGTTCTCCACAAGCTGGCAAAAGACAGACAGTTCCTCAAGATGGGCATCAAGGTCACAGAAATTCAAGAGGTACGGAGTTGCGAGCACAAGAATAAGCAAGTACAAGAAAGGTGGAAAAGCAGGAGCTCTGGTAGTGTTCTGCACCTTGGGACAAGAATTTGGGGGGCGGGGAATCTGACAGCAGCAACACATTCAGGCTGTGAGCAGGAGCCAATATGCCCTCTCCTCACTGATGGGCACTAACAGCAAGCCCTATCAAGATTAGATGCACCAAGGTGTTGCCTAGTTGGGAACTGCAACTGAGGGGGCCCACCATCCGTGAGCCCCACATTGTCCATTTGCAGGTGTTGTCTGAATCCAAGCTGTGCCTGCAAACAGACTTCAAAGGGGCTTCCTGTAATCACCAGCCAGCTGCTTACAACAGTCCAGTGGAGCTTTGTCAAAGCCGGCTTGTTGGTGCGGGATTAATGATCTGGCCCACCAGCTGATCCAGCTCCCCATCCTGATGTAAAAGGCATCAGCTGGGGGGGGAGGTGGGGAGAGACAAGCTGCCTTAGTGCATCTGTGAAACAACCCAGAGACCCAAGTGGAATACCACTTTGTGAAGCGGCAGCTCCCTACAAAAGGGCAGGCGGGGCAAACATTATGCCCAACTTTACAAGCGTGGATCTGGGGTGGGGAAGAGAAAACAGATACATCTATGTGCTTTATTGGGAATCTCCTCTTTATAAAATGGGAGAAATGTTCCTGGTATGGGTGAAAATTAAAGGCTCTCCGATTCAGGCCCTGTAAAGCCTCTCATAACCACCTAAATGCCGCTCTCAGAAAAGGGGAAAATCAGAAGACAGGCAAACACAGCACATTGCATTTGGTGCAGAATAATCTCTCCCTACCCCCAGAAGGGCAAGTGGCAACTAGAATAGGACTACCTCCTCCCACACTCCCTTTACCTTGCTGTCTAAATCTTTCTGGCCAATCTCTGCTTGGACAATGTAGATGAGGGCATCCACTAGCCCATCACACTCCCGCAACTTTCGGCGGGCTTCACTCCTCTCCGAGCTGACATTTCTACAAAAAGAGAAAAAGAAACATTAGAAAGATGGAGACACTATCAGGTAGTGGCTGTTAAAGCCTGTCTGCTTTCCTGTGCTTAAATTTAGGCCACATTTTCACTCTCAAGTCTGTGCTGGGTTTGTGTGGAGATTTCAAGCCTCTGGTGGGAACCGTCAAACATCATGGCAGAAGCCTTTTCCAGCCTTTTCCTCATACAACCTGCTACACCGTCCTAATCAGGCTGATTGTAGACCTCATGGGCTATCTATTTCAGCTCCAACACTGCCTCTCTGTCACCCAATTTTCTGCTGCTGCAGCAGCAAAAAGAAAACCAAAAAAACACAAGGCAGCCAGGAAGACCAGCAACTTCATCTTGTTTCTTCTCTGTGTGGCCCATCTTTTAGCCCAGCCAGAATTAGGGGGCAGACACCAGAGTACATTGCTCCAATGACCTGCAGTCAGGAATTCAAGATTAAGGCAAAGCAGGAGTTCTTTGGTCTTCTCAAGTTATAGCATCTCCAGTTTATTAGAAGGCACCAATCTCAGCTCCAAGAGTCCAGTCTAAATGGTTCATCTCACTTCTACCAAAGCCTCCTCCCAATAAGCTGGCAAACATCAGGCTTGCCTTACGTCTGCTAAGAGCAGGGCCTTTTGTGTGGTGGCATCCAACTTTGGAATGTGCTCGCCGTGAACATCAGCCAGGCACCTACAGCAGGGTCACTCAGGTGTCTGCTTAAAGTTCACATGCAGATCAACGGCCTCCAGCACACGGAGCACGAAGGTGTGCCTGGAGGTGCAGGGCAGCCCCAGCTTACCTAAGGCAGCCAATGGTGTTGGTGAGCACCGACTCCCACTCTATGTGGCGGGGTTTCGAGTCCTCACTGGGCTCCCTCTCCCATCCAGAGCGTGGGATGATGACCTCATCCGTGAGGGCATGTAAGGCATTGTCCACAATGGCCATTTTTATCGAGTCGTGAGAGGACAGGTTCCAGAGTGTTCCTGCACCAAGAGAAAGAGTTTGCCTGGTCAAGGAGTGCCTGGGAGAGCTCCGATGCCTCCACCTCCACCTTCCCTCCCAGGGCCCAGAAATTACCTGTGATGACCTCGGTGAGGTCCATGTCGCGCGCCTTCCTTAGCAGTCGCACCAGAGCAGGGACACCGTCGCAGTTCTTGATGGCGATCTTGTTGTCCTGGTCCCGGCCGTAGGAGATGTTCTTCAGGGCCCCGCATGCCCCGTAGTGCACCTCCTTCTTGGGGTGGTCCAGCAGCTCCACCAGCACCGGAATGCCCTTCATCTTGCGCACCTCCGTCTTCACCTTGTCGTTGCGGTAGCACAGGTGCTGCAGGTAGGCCGCGGCGTTGGACTTCACCGCATCCAGGCGGAAGCCCAGCATGGCGATCACCTCGGGGAGCTCGGGCTGGCGCCAGTTGGGCGGGGGCGGGCCCCCTTTCTGCAGGCTATCCATGCTGGCTAGGCTGCCCCTCTCGTGCTGGGCAAGGGGGGCCCAGTAGTACTGGTCTCTAGCCAAATCATCCACCAACATGTCCTCGTAACTCCTGCAAAGGAGGGAGGAAGAGAAGCAAGTTACTTTCAGGATCCGTCAGTCATCCAAAGCAGCTGAACTGCCACAGACAGGAACCAGGCTGGTCTGCCTATCTACAAAAGAGACCTGTGGGACAAGGATTGAGAAGGGGTTCCACCATCACCAACCACCTGTTTAAATTTCTTGGTAGGATAAGGTAACGCAGGGACCCAGTCATGCCATAGCATCCCCACTGCTGCCATGCTAAAAGCTGAAAGTGTGGCCCAAAAAGCTGTGCCCGAACAGCCAATCCTCTAGCACAACCTTTCTCAACCTGTGGATCCCCAGATGTTGTTGAACTACAACTCCCATCATCCATAGCTAGCAAGGCCAGAGCTCAGGGATGATGGGAGTTGTAGTCTAACAACATCTGGGGACCCACAGGTTGAGAACCGCTGCAAGGAACAGGTGGTGGCAGAACTTCCTAGTATAACCAAGTAAGAAGGCCCTCTTTCCCTGCATCACCTTGACTTTCCTTTCTTGTTCAACTTTTCAGATACGTAGGTGACCACAAGCTCTCGGGGTCAAGCACCCAAGTGCTGGGATTGTCTTGAAATTAGAAGCAGACAATAACAATGATAGCAGCTTACACTAGCGGCTTAAGCTGGGCCCAGGAAGAAATGGCTGTTGTTCTTAAAGAGAGGTGAGCAAGTTCCCAGGTAGTTTTGTCACTGGGGATTTTTCCAGCACCTTTCGCCTCCTTTAAGATATAGACATTTCTCGTATGTTACTGCAGCCTGGCCACCAGAGGGCAACTTGGCACCATCTGTGTCAAACCGCAGGCATTGCATTTTGTAGGTCATCCAACCTGCTCCTGCCCCAAACACACCCAAGATTCAGAAGAAGACTTCCAGTGCTTTATTCAGCCAGGCCTTCCGCTTTGCAATACTTCCAGTGTGCAGTAATTAAGCCAGGCAGACACTCCCGTTAGATTAGATGGTGAGATTTCAAGGACACCAAATTCTGACATGGCACAACTGAGCTACCACACACCCAAGCTGAACACAGTCAAGATCTGCTTAGGAGCAAATGACTGCAAATGCCTCTGGAGGTCTTACATTTCATGCAGGGTGCTGGCTTAACTCCCCAAGATCCCTTCTAAATATAAAAGCAAGACCTGCACTGCAAACTTGGCTCAGCCATGAGATTCCCAACCTGTCCCAGTCACCCTCTTAAGAGACACCCTGTACCCTGGAAAGTGTGACTGAAGCAATAGAAGGTGGGAGGGAGGAGAGAGAACAAAAGAGAAAAGTGGCTAGGTGAAGGTAGGGAAGGGATGAGAGGGAGTGGTAGAAAAGGTCTCGGGACTGTTTTTAACATCCTCAAGGAAAGCATAAGTCCCTTTCATCATGGTGCTACAAGGACAAAATGGTTACAGGGGTCTGTAGCATCAGGATACCTTTTTTCACAAACTATTCACATGGCATGAATGGATGCAAGGTCTGCAACATGCAGGAAAACCGATGCTTCCACTGCCTTAAAGGAACAGAACCCTTGCCTCCTCATGGAAATGTAGTCCCTCTAACACTTGGTTTTCCTGTTAATGGATGCATTTGGGGCCTATATAACTCAGTATACAAGCACAGGAGACAGGACAAGACTCGATACCAAGAGCACTTCAGCTTTTGCAATAGTAATATAAAAAGCTTTCAGGTCCTCACAGTCATGGAAGAAGCTTAAACAGTGTCCAAGGAAGGTTTTTAGATAAAGATGGAGATGGCCAAGGATCCCCCGACCCTGAGATCAGCCTCACAGGTTTAATGTTCCAGGTGGCTCCACATTCCTTTAAAACATTCTTACTGCTGGAAACAGAACTGCACAAGGAGGACCCAGGAAGTCTCACCAGGAACCGATCTCCCACTTTGGGAGCAGAGTTGTGCGTGGCTGGTTAAGCTGTGCTCCATCTCTCCAATCTGTAAAGCATGCAAAGCTTCCCCAATCCCCATTTAAAATGCAGCAACCTGGATCAGCATCCTCAGCACCAAGTCCCTGGGTCCTTATCTATATCCATATGCAATGCATAGTTCTAAAAGCAAGTAAGCCCACACTGTTGATACCCAAACCAAGCGTGCACAAAGAAAGCAATGTCAAGATTACCCAACTTCCTCCCCCTCAAAAAAAATATTCTATCCTTGACACCCACACACCAAGTTGATGGTGATGATGATTACTCATCCGAGACCAAACTCAAGACTTGTTTTGCTTTTGCCAAACTACCCCAATGCTTTGCAACCCGAAAGGAGACAACAAGATGTGCATCTTCGCAGACTCCTTCAGAAATGGGGTCCAGCAGAAACCCCCAGCCCACCCTGCTTTCAGGGTGTAAACACACACAGTGCATCTCCAACACCTGTCATTTGTGCCCACACAGATGCACTGCCAAGGACGTACACCCAAGGCCTCCTCCACCCACTGTCTGGAGTGGTTTTGCACGCATGAATGTTGGGCCAAAGGGGGCCTAATGGGAAGAGCTGCTTCCTTTGCAGCTTCCTTGCTGAATCAACTTAGGGGGAGCCACCGCTTAGTAGCAAAGCGCAGACTTCACACTAGTGGTCTGGTCCAGGACTGGGGAGCCTCCCAAGGGACAAGGAATTATATCTGCATAGTGGAGCTGTCATGCTTTACACGTATACGGTCTCTCGAGATCAGGCTCTGGCGCCTGTGGTTAAGAAAAGAAAAGGAAGTGGGTAGCAGCAGCAACATTGGGAGAGATGCTTGTGCAAGACCAATTAGAGCTGGTGATGGACAACACCAGAGTAGCTGGGAAACCAGCCCAAGTCAGAGGAAGGCACTTCTTCATAACCTCAGCATACTGCCTGATCTCCATACCCAAGCCTTGGCCAGGAGTGGGATCCTGACAGAGTGGTCCCAAAGCTGGAATGGAGGAAGCAAGTGGTCCCATGGGGTGAAAGAGGCAACTGAGGAGTGTGTGGCCCCAAGGAATCCCACCTTAAATCATGGGGAGGGCAGAAGGCATAGCCTTCATTTTCATCTTTAAATATTCAAGCAGACATTCTGGGGGGTGGGACTGCTTGTATGATCAAATTTCCATGTTTTTAAGACGCAGGTGGGAAACCTGCAAAACGCACGCAGAACCTCCCACCCAAAAAAGTGGAGAGAAAAAGAGACAATGGAGGGGGGAGGGAGGGAGGGAGGGAGAATTCTCTCCACTGCTAGTATTCAGCTTCTAACTACTTTCCCACCGAATAAATGTGTTCCTCTGCTCTGAAAATGTTGCTCTGCCCAGCTAATAAGAAGCCAATTCCCTAGTCATGGTTTGCTCTGATTCAAAGTTAAATGCCTGAATGAGAGTGGACAGGTTTCAAGATTCACCTGCTCTTTAAGCAGAGATGGGAATAATCCAGAAAGCAACTAGGTTTTAGTCAGTGCACACTGCAGCTTTGGAAAGGCAAAGCCCCTACTTTCATTGGTTTTAAACAGATTGGTTGCTGAAAAATTTATTTTCCTCCACTTTGTTTTAAAGTGATTTGTGATTTAACACTGTTGCTTTGGTTTTATTTTGTTGTTTCTATTATTATGTGTGCTTTTAAAAAATCCTGTAAGCTGCCTCAGAGAACTCTGATTATTGGGTGGCCTATAAACGGCAAACACAAATTAGGGGGGACGACCCATCCCTTATCAGGCAACATGATTTCAGATTTCATATCCATATCTGTAGCAAACATTCTTGTCAAGCTGGCTTGTGGTTCAATGTTCTTGCTGAACCTCATGCCATGTTTTTAAGGAACACCAAGAACATAGTTGAAGTCACATTTGCAGGGCATGATGCATATATTGTGGATGATTTGAAGAGGAAGGGAACTTATGTTCAAGCAGGACAAATTTGAGTTAGCCCACTAATTTAGCTGTAATGAGAGCTGAAAGGGTGACTTCTGACTCCTTAATGCAGGCATAGGCAAACTCGGCCCTCCAGGTGTTTTGGGACTACAATTCCCATCATCCCTGACCACTGGTCCTGTTAGCTAGGGATGATGGGAGCTGTAGTCCCAAAACATTTGGCGGGCCACCAAGTTTGCCTATGCCTGCCTTAATGCCTCACTTCCAATTTTTCAGCATTTTAACAGCCTGTATTCTATGAGGAAGCTGCTGTTTTTTATTTTTGTTTTAAAGTGCATTAAGCTTTTGCTTTCATAGATTTTCACAAGTGATTCCTCAGGAGCTGCATGATGCCCAGCCCAGTTCCAAAGTACTGCTTCAGACTGGTGGTTTTCAGCGTATATTTTGTAGGAATCCCATCAAGGAAATTTGCTATGGCAAAGCAATGAAGCTTCCATCTAAGGCGGGGCCTCCCATTACCTCCCTTTCTTGTATGGCCATTGTTGCATGGGGTTCATTCAACAGTGAACATTCAGAACAATAGCACAGCCTGAAAGGCCTGGCCAGTGGCCTACATAAACAGAGAAGGCACCCTAATATCCACTGAAACACAAAAGGACAGGCAAATACCAGCTCCTTATCAGACAAGTCAGTGTGGAAATAAGTCCCTGAAGGAAGGAAGTTTGAAGACCACTGTGCACCAGACTGCAAGTGTCCAAGCTGCCTTCTGGAGGCAAAGCGCCGTTGACTTGGCAGTTGCTTTCCAGCTTGAAAACGTGTTCATACAAGACAGTCGCATAGCTCTGGGTTATTTTTGAAACCACAAATACTGTTCCCTACATGCCCTAATCTCTTAGATCACAGAGCATACAAGAGACACTCGTCCAAGCTTTAACCCCTCCCTTCTCACTGCAAGGGATTCAAACTGGGGCTCTTCAAAAGGCAACACTTGGGCCTGGCAGCTGTTCTGGGAAACTTCATCAAAACCGTCATATCATCTCAAAGCAGCAAACCAACCCGTACCGACTTTCCGTGTGAAAATACGAGAGCACAGGGTGGGGGGTTGGGGGAATCAATCCTCTACAGTGGCTTACTGTCAGACCACATCACCTCCTGGTGTTTTTCGTGCATGCCTCAGAAGTTTAGCAGAATGCTCGCAAGTGGGTCTCCTGACCTTCATGGCAGATTACTGAGCTAGAGGACACTGAACATACTAAAAGGCTGTTGAGGCCTTTCTTCACAAGGGCAAGCTGCCAAGTCACAATGGTTAAAAAAAAAAAGTAGTAAAGTTCAGTTCCTTACTCAGAACAAGTAAAGATGTTATCTGGCTAGTTACCATCATAGGAAAGAGAATGGACAACAGACACGCACACACAGCTCAACACAGGCGGTGGCAGCACAAGGAAAGAGCTCAGTCGGTAAAGCATGAGACACTTACCGTATTTTTCGCCCTATAGGACACACTTTCCCCCCCTCCAAAAATGAAGGGGAAATGCGTGTGCGTCCTATGGGGCGAATGCAGGCTTTCGCTGAAGCTTGGAGAGCGAGAGGGGTCGGTGCGCACCAACCCCTCTCGCTCTCCAGGCTTCAGGAAGCTATCCGCTAGCCGTGGGAGACGCAGCTCTCAAAGTCGCGCGGCTCTCCCACGGCTAGCGGAGAGCTTGCCGGCACCCAGAAGCTTGGGGCGAGCTGAGCTCAGCACGCCCCAAGCTTCGGGCTTCGCGCAGCGCTCCGCTAGCCGTGGGGCACTTCCCCCGCCCCAGCCCCGCACCTGGGGGGGGGGAATAATTTTTTTTATTCCCCCCCCCCCAAAAAAACCTAAGTGCATCCTATGGGGCGAAAAATACAGTAATCTCAGGGTTGTGGGTTTGAGTCCCATGTTGGGCAAAAGATTCCTGCATTGCATGGGGTTGGACTAGATGACGGGGTATAAATAATAAATTTTATTATTATTATTATTATTATTATTACTACTACTACCCTCGTAACCCCTTTCAACTCTACAATTCCATGGATTCCACAGAGCCAGTGTAGCAGAGTGGTTAGAGTACTGGACTAGAACCTAGGAGACCAGGGTTCAAATCCACAATCAGTGTTGAAGCTCAATGAACATACCTTTGCTCAGGCACTCTCTCAGACTAACCTACCTCACACGGTTGTCATGAGGATAAAGATGTGGAAAGGGAAAGAACCATGTATATATACCACCTTGAGCTTCTCGAAGGAAAGGTGGAAAAAATAATAAATATAAATAATAAATAGTTTATTCAACCTTTATTTGCTTGCACAAAGCACAGCAATTTCAGAACTGGCAGTCAAACTCCACGCATGGAAATTCTACTGGAGCAGCTTTTATGCATCAATGTTAACTGTGCAGGTCACAGGTCAGAACAATACAGCACAGGAAGGAGCCGCTTTTCTATAATCATGTGAGCAAGTCGCTTAATTGTTCACTCCTCTGGCTAAACTTAAGATTCCACATGCATTAGCAGCAAAAAAAGCCTGAGGTTATGGGCATTTTAAGCAGTCCTGAGTTTTCAGGCATTATTTTTGTTATTGTTAAATTTGTATCCCGCCTTTCCACCAAATCATGCTCAAAACAGCATCAAAACATCCCTTTATTGCTCCTGACGAGCTCATGAAACAGAAACATTTCCACGGAAAAACAAAACACTGCACCATCACCACCTGTCCAGCAAGAGCAGTCCAAACTGGGATGGGGTAGGACTGCAGCTGCTCTGAAGTAATTTGAGAATCCTCAGGAGATCCTGAACACAGATCTCCTATGCGTTCTTGGAGATCTTGTTTATCTGTTGAGAAGCCAAAACTGGATGAAGTCCACTGGGCCCAAGCAGCAGGTTTTGCAGAATTTCAGCCTCCCCTAACCCACCCTGCCCTGATGTGTCCTGGGCAATACATCCATTGTTAACATTTGTGAAGTCAGTCGGGCAAGAGAAGCCATCACTCTGCTCCATCAAAAACCTGCAGAGTTTAGAAGCTGTGCAGGTCAGGCAGAAGACACCACTTCTCCCCTTCTAGGCCTCAGTTCTGCAGCCAAAAGCTACCACAACCGATTAATGACAAAGTCACCTACTTCAGGGGTTAGTCAAGGTGGTCAAAATTCTTCCTCTCTGACAGCAATGTCAACCAGCAAAGGAGTATTAGACAAGATAGTCATTTTACATACCTTTAATCCATGTACTTTAATCTGCAGAATACTGTTTACAGTGGAAGGGGGTGAACAGAACTGAAATTGTGCTGAGGATGAATACTCTGGGTCAACACTGAGCGAAGGACAGGCAGAGACAGAAACTGACACGAAGCAGCAGAAGACAGGTAGGAGACCACAGAAGAGGAATGGAAACTATGCCGTGGAGTTTGTGACTATTCAGCTCCATTTTGCCAAAAGCCTGAACTTTTAACAACCCTCTTTCTATCTGAATAGCTAAGATAAATTATCAACCCTGTGTCTCCACAACAAATCAGGGTATTTAAGTCTGGGTGGTTGGGATGCGGGGTTTTTTCAATGGAAGCTGATATTCGCAAGATCATACTACACCAAAGCAAGGGGACAGGCCTTTACTGTGGGATCAGTGCTTCTCACACATAGAAGTTTTTCGCAGCATCCACACAATGCCGGTGTCATCAGCCTACTATAATCTGAATCTCCACCCCATTTACCCTTTCTGGGGGATTTACCCTTTCTGGGTGAAATCAATTTCTTAAAAAATGTTGCCATTGACCTATTTGTAGCCTTAAGCCCCCATCTGAAAACACCCATTTGACTGTAAACCTATGCCACCATTAGGCAAACAAGAAAAGAGAAGGTTAAGTCTGGGGTCCCCCATGCAGCACTTGCAGACATCGGAACACACAACTCTTGGTGCCCATCTGGCAACTGCAACCACTACCTACTTTGTTGTTGTTGTTGTTCCTATTTTTTTACACTTCGGCAGCAGCAGCTGCACTGGCTGGAAAGAGAACTGCCGGCCGCCAGCTGCCCCACCTCTCCCTTTCCATTCCCCAGAACGCCTTTGGGTCCCATGTAAGCCCAGAGGCATTCTTCACTGGAAAGGAAGAAAGATGATGCAGCAGCCTTCTTTTGAAACTTCTCAGGAGAAAAAAGCCACTGCCTGCTAAATCTCTGAGATTGGAGAGTGGGCGGCAGATTCCTTTTTTTAGGTGGATACAAGAGAAAGCAAGCATGAATGTGTCAACTTTTTAAAAATCTGTTTGAGGGTATTTTGCCTGCTCTTTGGGTGTGTGTCTCTGAGGGGGGGCGGTGTATGTGCATGTGTCTGCTTTATTTGTTTTGGGGGGCATGTTGCCCATTTTACATGTTTTAGGTTTTGTTTGTTTGTGGTGGGTAAGTTCTGGCTGTTTTTCCTGTGAGAAATGATGATGATGATGGTGATGATATTTATTTCTACCCCGCCCATCTTGCTGGGTTTCCCCAGCCGCTCTGGGCAGCTCCCAACAGAATATCAAAACATAAGAAAACATCAAACATTAAAAACTTCCCTAAACAGGGCTGCCTTCAGATGTCTTCTAAAAGTCAGATAGTTGTTTATTTCTTGGACATCTGATGGGAGGGCGTTCCACAGGGCGGGCGCCACAACCGACAAGGCCCTATGTCTGGTTCCCTGTAACCTCACTTCTCGCAGTGAGGGAACCGCCAGAAGGCCCTCGGAGCTGGACCTCAGTGTCCGGGGTGAACAATGCGAGTGGAGACGCTCCTTCAGGTATACTGGGTATTTTGTGGTGACCATGACAGTTTTAGATTTCCAAATATGATCCCAGGCCACACACAAAAAACCTGGTAAGCCCTAGGTTTATCTATTTATTTAGTAAGATTTATACACCATGCAAGTATTTGAATCTTGATACAGAGCCCTGAAGCCCCTGGCTCTACACCTGTGAACCAATCACTGCTACCTGTATGCACAACAGAAAAATGCTGTTCATACAGTCAGGGTCTTCTTGGCAATGGAAAGCATGAACCCACAGCTGTGCAACTGCAAGGCTCATTTTCATGCTGCAGTGACAACAGGATTCACTGTCACAACGGGAAGGAATGAAGAGTACCTCATAGTACCGGCATCAGAGATGCCATCTTATTATAGTTAGGCCTTATCTAGCACCTTAGTGAGACTCCTCATACACACACTCAAGAATTCTTCACAAGAGTCCTGCAGAGCTAGCTTAGTATCATCCCCCCATTGAAGGTGGAGAATACTGCAGAGGAGGACTAATGGAGTGGCTTGCTTACGATCGCTTAGCACACGGCAAGAGTTAACATGTGAATGGGGACTTTTCACCCAGAAAATAGCCATCACGCTGAGCTCTCAATATACTTCCTCTTGAGGCCAAAAAGACCACAAGCGCCACAAGCTCCTTACAATTATCACCACACATTCAGCGGCACATTTTTGGAAGGTTTACTGGAAAGAACATTTTCAGCCTTTTCCCTTTTAACTGACGGGACAAAAGCAGATGAGCAGAGTCCTCTAGAAAAATTCTGCTCATCCCTGAATCCCAAGGCCAAGTCTGTACAACTCTAAATCTCGCTTTAGAGACTGCATTGTCACTCGGAACGACAGCAGTGTCTCAAAGAGCTATGGTAAAAGCATGTCTTCATCATGTTTCTCAAGAATGAGCGCATGTCCACCCCTCCAGCGTCACTTTAACAGATTCTCTATCATGGCAGAATCATTGCCACCATCTGCCCTAGAATGCCAAGCAGAATGCTCCTACCTGAGTCTCTGGCGGGGGTCGGAGGGAGTCCCAGTCCGCCTGGCAGTACCATAGTCTGGCATGGTGCCGTAATCGAGGTCATCGTATCCCATGCTGCGCTGGTCGTCCTCCAACCCGTAAGGCTCTGGGTGGAAGCGGTTCAAGTCCATGTTGCTTCCCCCTACCCGCACCTGCGGCTGAGGCCCATAGACATCCTGCCGACTGGGGGCCCGGTAGCCGTCCATGGAGGGGCGGTAGCGCTCGTCGATGCGCGTCACGCGGGACAGGCTGCCGTAGTTGTGCTCGCTGCCGTGGTAGCTGTCCTCGTACGGGCGGCCGTAGCCGTCTGGGTAGTGGTAGTTTCGCGGGAGGGTAGCTGTGCCCGGCTGGCTCATGTAGGCCCCAGGGCCGCCATTGGTGTTTTTCCTGAAGTTCCTATCCATGGTCTGGATGTAGTTGTTGGGGACTGGAGAGCCATCCACAGGCAGCCCATCGGGGCCAACAGGAACTTGCTGCACTGTGCGCGTGGTCATGGTCTTCACAACCTTCTTCACCTACACAACAGTAACGGGAGCTGTTAGGCATCTGCCAGCGCCTTTGACCCCAAAGTAGTCACTGCCAAGCTGGAAACACTGATTTCTTTGTGGTATTTCCCCATTACTTCCACATGGTCTTGCTCTTTTTACCCTCCGTGGCTCTTGTTCTGGGCCGTCTTTCTAGACGGCAGGGTAGCTAATGTGGCACCCTCCAGATGCTGGACTACAACTCCCATCATCCTTTGCCATTAGCCATGATGTAAGCGGGAAGCTCAACACCACATGGTGGTACACCTTTCATAGACCTTTGCAGGTGCTTGCAAAACTTGTGCACTGCAGGCGAGTTAAGTCCAACCCTAAATGTTTTCTTGCTGAGAGAACTGGCAGAGCTGCAGTTCTCAGAATCCTGCTTCTGGGACACTTTGGTTAAGCACAATGCAATATTGCCCATTGGTTAAGCCTGGCTAAGCTATTAGGAGCTGGTGGCAGAATCACATTCTCCCTCCTTCCTGCCCAGCTTATATCCTGCTCCTCTGTTAAAATGGATACCTTGGTGAGTTCTGTCTGCTGTCTACATCTCCACCAATAAACATGAATGGCAGTTAGGCTAGACAGGTTGAATTCATGCTCCCAGAAATGAGGGAGGGGAGCGAGCGCAATCCTGCAGGCCTCCCTCTACTGGTGAATTAAGTTGCCTTCACTGTGCCTGCATAGACTTTTGGGGATAACAAACGAAGCAGCGAAAACTACTTTAGATCACTGCATAGAGGCAGCTGCCACTAATGGAAATTTAAAACACCACTTGTTTGGGTGTTCTAAGCCCCAGCAGTTCTTTGCTGTCAAGTGTCTGGTACACACAAGCCTAATCTCTTCCCAACCCAGCTACTAAATAAGGGGCACATTTCACAATATCAGAACCTGCAATTCTTCTCAAGCCTCTCACCGTGGTCTCTGTACGGCGAGTTTTCCCATCATCAGAGGTCTCCACCGAAATAACTGACATGGCACCCTCGGGATCCTCCTCCATAGTGTAGGTCTCTTCCACAATCTGTCCTGGGTCTTGCATCCTGGGAATGGTGCTGTATATGAGGTGACTGTGGTCCTAAGGAGACGGAGATACAGATCAGCAGCAGCCCAATTCTGCCCAGACAATTCTGCACACTTCCTATAAGCCAGGCACAACCTGCCAAGTTCCCTTTAATACCCAGTCTCTCTCTCAGGAAGCGCATACACAAAAAGGGTTTTTTTTCTCTTTAGACACTGCTATTTAAGGCTTTTGAACCCAAGTTCCAGTTCAAACCACAGTAAATTCATGCAACAAAATAGGACGTCAACCACTGAGTGGCTTTCCATTCAACGCAAGAGTAGGAGAGAAAGTGACTCAGACTTCCTCTCCACGTGCATAACAGTTTCTCAACATTTTATGGAGGAAAAACGTAGGCCCATCCCACCCACCACAGGCTACAGATTGGAGAACCTCAAAGAATCCAGCCCGAATTTTCACATCAGGTTAGATCCCCTTGAAAAAAGCAACAACACCTTCAGCAAATTAGTGCCACCTGCCAGAAAGAAGTTTTCAGTTCCGTTCTTTACCTGTGGTCCGTTGAGTTTCAGTTCAGAGAATTTCTGTCTCTCCAGGTCAGCATTGCCCAAGAAACGGCCGTTCTGTAAAAGAAAATAGTGGTGCATTTGTGTCCACAATCAGGGGAAATAAGGGGGGGCGGGGGAGTGGAAGTCACCTGTGGCAATTGAGCAAGTTCAGCCCTGGTTGAGTTTATGGCTCACCATAAAGTGAAGAAGCTAGAAGGCTGGTCTGGCGCAATTAGCAAGTAACACAATACATATAGGTTGCAGAGTGTTAGGTAGCTCCTTAAGAGGTTTACGCTTCCTCACAGGTGGAGAGAGAAAAGGACAAGTTCTCCTGTCCATCTATGAAACCCTATGCAGGGAGAGAATGCAGCATCCCAGAAAGAACTAAAAAAGACTGCATGCTGCCACAACCCAAAAGGCACCAAGAGCTCTTAACTAAGGTAGCTAACTAAAGCACATGGAAGATCACCTTGAGAAAACAGTTCAGAGACTGGGAAAAGCAGCCCATGGCCACAACAGCTCAAAAGTCTCAAGTCCCATCTCCATCCTACAAAAAGAATGCGGGTGACCCATCTCAGCAGACCTCTCCCCTCCAGAGTGAAAAGGAATTAAATGCAGGATCTTCCAAGTAGAGCACTCAAGTTCAACACCACCTTGCAGACCCCTGCAGCTCTGTTCTTGTGTGCATCCCAAACAGTTTCCATCCCTGTTGGGGCAGAACTTCTGAACTAAACAGGACTCAAAATAGCAACCGCAAGCTTAATAAGTATCCTTTGGCGCTGTCTACTTCCCTCAACCCTACAACTGAGGTCGAGAAGTACAAAACGCAAATAGCTAGCAGTAATCAAACAGAAAGGGAAAGGCAAGATGAGCTTGGCTTAAAAGCCTCAAAAAAAAGTCATCTGGGGGTTTTCTCCACATCTACCCGAGACATTTCCTTCATGCTACTTCATCCTGATGTGTCTGAATTTGAGGGCACTTTGCTATCAAAGAACGAGGGTTGCCATTATGAGCAGCTAGGGCAAGGAAGTTTTGATTGTTCTACAGCAGCTTAAATGAAGAACTCTGGCTTATTATTATTTTTTACACCAAGATCCCCATATCCAGGATGTTCTCTAGAAAGCACTACAGCAGCTAACTCCACTTCTTTGCTGGGCATCCCGTTACACAGATACACACTCTGAACCATCAGTAATCAATACAAGCACACACTGGCCCACTTCAAGCCTAACATTAAGGCAAACCATGAGGGAATGGGTTTGGGGGTACTCTGGGCAAAAATCACAGCTGGTTTGCTCCTGTCCTGCTGCTGTTACCCAGAGTTAAGCCATGGTTTGGCCTAGCATTACATCAAACCACAAGTTGTAGCCAAGGTTTGTTTATGACTTACCACGCATGGCTCATCTGGAGTGAGGTAAACCATGAGCCTGGTCTTGAAGGTCCCAATAAGCCAAGCCATGGCTTAGTTCTTAGTACTGTGGCAGTGGCAGTAGGACTAGAATAGATGTGAAGTGGCCGCACGTTCTGCTCTGAGAACCTGCAGGCTCACTCATCCACACTTCAATGTGTTTGGGCTTAGTGTTATAGGTGAACCAGACTTCTAAGTATGGTATGATATACTACTGGTCTTCAGGAGTTAAAATGGGAATAGGAAGGAGAGAATCAGAGTTGGAAGGGACCCTGGGGCTTAACTAGTCCAACCCTCTACAATGGAGGAATTACAGCTAAAGAATCCCTGACAGATGGCCAGCCAACCTCTGCTTAGAAGCCTCCAATGAAAGGAGAGTCCACCACTTTCCATGAGGTGGACTCCTATAAAGGAGGGTCTGTCTCCCAAGGAGAAGCACTTCAGTTTCTACTTCAACATGGATGGTGGTTTTTATTTCATATGACACTAGGCACTGTGAAAGCAAAATCTAGCCACTCACTCAACATTGGTTGCTCAACCTCTCCATGACACCACTTCCTAAATAGAGCTGCTGTCTAGGGTTAGCCGCTGAACAGACACTGGCCTGTAGACCCAGCTATGCAAAGTGCAGAATGTCATAGCCCTTGGGCCAAGTTGCCCCGCAAACCATCCCCGACAGAAGCCACACTACCAAGGCGGCACTCCAGCAGGCACCACTTGAGTCCAGAAGCCGACAAGCATCCTGCTTGCCCACCTCACCTGAGGTGATTTTACCTGGTGCCGGCGGGTGAGGGTGCCGTTGGCCATGGTCTGGCTGGCATCCTGCGGGGAGACGCGGACGCGCTCCAGCTGTGCAGAGACATGGCGCCGCTCCTCCTCCAGTGCCCGCGTCAGCTTCTCAAACTGCGCCTCCTGCTCTTTGACGGAGGCAAGTATACTGGCAGTCGACTCCACTTCCGAGTCATCCATGGTTGTGAAGGCCCCGCACGGGGGGAGGGCGGGTGCAAGGCAGGGAGATGCCACGGGGTTGGAGGGAACGGACGTCACACAGAAAAGGGGGCTGGAGGGGAGAAGGGAGCCCCTCACTTCACACACAAGAGTTGGGGAGAAAGTAAGAAGAGAAAGATTTAGGTCACAGAAGAGAGAATTTGTTGCGTTGATTAAAAAAAAATTAAACTTGGGGAAAGACCAGAGTTTTGCTTCATTTTCCCCTCCCACAAATCAACAGAGCAGGAGAAGGAGACGACAAATTCTCTCCCTCCTAGCCTCCCCAAGGCAAACAAGTGCAAAAGGAAATTCGATTCAAAAGGGTGCTCCTTCAGGAGAGAAGTGGCCATGGCAAATTATGTTTCATGGCTTCTTTTCTGCAGGCTCTTGTCAAAAGTGCAGGCCAGATTCTGGGAAGGATAGGCCCAGGTTTCTGGCACCCACAGAAGTTTGAGGGACAGTTTTAATGGTAATACTCAGGATTTTAACCAGTGGTCCTACTGGGGGTGGCTATGATTTCCCTCTAGGCTGACTATGGCCTTTTCTATATTTCCCCTGCAATTTAGCTCACTTGCTCCCAACAAATCCCTCACGTTATGTGGACGGTGTACCCTTCTAACATGAAGCACTTGGTTGAATCCCACTCTGAGCAGGAAACAACAAGCAGGAGAAAGGAGATTAGTTTGTGGGTTATTTAGAAGCTACCGGGTGTATGTTGCCTGTGCAAACTTAGCTCTGTGTGCCTTTTAATGCATAGGCGAGGGAACCCTGGGCAGGGAACAGGAGTTTGGTCTATGTCTCCAGCACTAACGTTTTTCCTGTAATGCAAGACTGGTCCAAATAGCCCTGGCTTTTAAACACAGAGCAACCATTTGTTAATCCTCAGGAGTGACACTCTCAGTAGTGCCACACGCTCCCAAGATTTGTCTCATATCTACTAAGCCCAGGACTTGTTCAGTGTGGCGGCACAAACCCCTTGGAATGCACCCCCAATGAACATCAGTCAGGCACCTACGGTATTGGCATTTAGGAGCCTGCTTAAAAGCTCATCTGCTCATCCAGGCTTTCCCCTGGGAAATGATCCAATTATGTATTTGAGGTATTAAGCTGATCTTCTGGTTTGTGATGCATTTTGTATTGGTTTTTTGAATATAGTTTTACTGCTCATCTTATGCTGCCCACTGCCATGGCTTTTTTCCTTAATGTTGGCAGAATAGATTTTTTTGCAAATAAATCTTAGCGATCCCTCAATACTGCCCTATTAATCCTGAAGAGGTCGTCGCAAGAGCCGCCTCATATTTAACATGTGGCCTTTTGATATGGCTGCAATTTCCAAATTCCACTGCATCAGCACTTACAGATCTGACTGGCCTGTCTAGAGCCCAGGTCCTTGTCTCCTAAACAGGAAACTGCCTGTCAGTTATGTTCTTGTGCATTCCTGTCAGGGTGCAATAGCCTTTAATTCCTCAATGTCATGTCACAGCTGGGAACAAGAAGTTAAGTTCCATCTTCCCCAACCAGGTGCCCTCCAGATGTTTTTGGACTACAGTTCCCATCAACCCCAATTGTTGGCCATGCTAGTTGGGGCTAATGGCAGTTGTAGTCCAAAACATCTGGAAGGCACCAAGCTGGGGGAGGCCAAGTTCGGTTGCTTTGTGACCTACCAACACAGAGATTATATATTGGGCAGAAAAATACCAAGAGCCAGCGCCAGAAAGGTGGGCAGAGAAGGATGAAACTCACTCTCATTTTTCCAAAGCTCCAGTGTTAATGGCTTTTTCAAACACATGATGGGAAACAGCAACATTCCATATAATACATCTATGTGTACATATAATATGTCTGGCCATATGCGGTTGTCAAATGCTCATCAACAATACACATCTAGAACGTTGCTACCACCATGGAGACAGCAGAGCTCTGTCTTACCTGGTTAAATCTGCCCAAGGTATTTTGAGGACACAGCGTGCATTTCCTTGGCTGCAGCATTACATATGTGAATGGCATTTAAGCAGTAAAGGGTTGGGAAGCAGTACAGCTTCTTAAAACCCTCAAACTTATTTTACAGTGAAATCTATCTCCAAAGTGCAAGATATTCCTTCAAGCCATTTCCCTCCAAGAGCTGTTTCCTTTACCACCTTTTATCAGCTGAAAACCGCAGGTGTGGAGCTACAAGCTTTAATGTGGTTGTCAGCAATCGTTTCATGGCTAACAAGATGGGAAAGGGGAGCAAGGTGTTCTGCAAATCATATGCCACTGTGCTAGAGAACAGGGCACTGGCATAGGCTCAACAGGAATGTCTTGAGAGAGAATCTACTTAATAAATCCATAAAGCTGTGTTTGACTTTTAAAGCAACCCGTGCACAAAAGTGTGGTTGGAATTGGGGAGGCAGGAGGGAGTTAATGCCCACATTTGTACTCTACCTGGGGGCTTTTGATCTCCTTACCATGGGAGGAAATTCAAAAAAATTTAAATGGTCAGTTCAAGAGAAAAATAGAGCCCGCCACCCATAATGGAAGAGAACAAAATTACATTTAAGATTGATTTTTCACACCATACACACCTGTGAAGGAAGGCCGGTCTGAACTGATTGGCTAAGGCACAGCTTGGTCTAAGTGCAGAAAATCATGGAAGAAGCAGCCCAGCCACCAACAGCAAGGAAGCAGGAGGGAAAAGGCTGCAGAGACAGCAGAAAGGGGATTCAATATATGTGTGATTTTAAAAAATAAAAAAGGAACAAAGCACAAGAGGCATGTAAAGAAGGATCTATAATCAAACCAGTATTTATTCATTTTTTAAAAAAAAAAACACTGTACCTATCTTCCACACCCCTCTAGATACTTTGGACTACAACTCGCTGGCTGGAGTTGGAAAAGACTACAATGAACCATTCCACCATTTCTCCCAAAGTGGAATTACAAGTGGTTTACAAAAGCACTTCTTAAAATGGAATGGTCACATTAACTGGTATAGCACTGCTACAATGGAAAAGAAAGCTCAGGTTTGCCCAACTGGATTACAGGGAATAAATGTGGTTTAGGATTTTTAAGATTTCTGGCTCACAAGGTAACCTTCCAGAAGACAGCTAACAAGGCACACAGAAATTGGGAAAACACAAATAGAACTATTCTGCACACAAGTTGCCAACTCAGTGGGCCAACTAGTATTAAGATCTTGGTACTCTATGACTGACGGAAGGTAGATACAGATCAAACAGCTTCCTCCAGCATTTAACATCCCACCTTAGGAAAGCCTTGCCCAAGCACGTCAGAATTGTATATTTTTTTAAAAAAGAAAAAATCCCAGGGGGTGGGGAAATCAAGGTACGGACGGCGTGCTTGGACTAGTCTGGCCTCCAAGACAGATCTCGCCTCAACCCACTTTCCCACGGTGCTGGTGACACACAATACCAGGCCCTAGACATGATTTACATACAAGGCCATGGGCACTGACAATCTGAGGCAGGGGGGATCTCTTTGGAGAGATTCATAATAGTGCAAAGAAAAGCAGCACAATCCCATGACCATTATCTGGAACACACAAACTGTATTTTGCAGTCATCCAACAGCTCCACTCACATCTTTGCCCAAGTCTTTCTTGCCCACTAAACAGTCCTATGCACAAGCCCCAATGTGAAATTAAAATCCAAAAAAGCACTGTTGCTCCATTAACTGGATGCTACAATTAAGCAGGCAGGCAAGAGATGCACCTCATTAGTCATTTACTGGTAGCATCCAGAAAAAGTAGCCTTTCTAGAAGACCATCAGTTACGGAAATGTGGTTAGCGAGAACATGAGGAACAAGTTCGTGTAATCGCCATTAGATTAATTCAGCCTTAAATGTTTTGTGCTGAATGGCTACAGTTCCTGAATATGCAGATGTTATGCTTTCAGAAGAAATTTAGATGCGAACTTGTGTCACAACACTCTGGGCTACAACAAGAGGACACACCACTTCTCATTGAGTCATATTTTTAGTCACATGTTAGGAATTGCTTATTTGACAACTGAACTTTTTTCACTTCGGTTCAGACATCTTGGCACCAGTTGGACTTTGACCCAGAGGAGATTGTTAGTTTGCTTTAAACAGTTTAGTGCTTTGCCATCCCATGGCCTCCACCCTATAATCTTTCTCTGCAGTTCCGCAGCGAGGATGCACCCAAGGCCTGGAAGAGTCCAAGAAACGCTCCCGTTTTTTCTTTCTAGAGCTGCTGTCGAAAATCTTCTGGCAATGGCTATAGTAAAATATGCATGGATGTATGATATGTAAAATGAACCATGGAAAGAGAAGAAGGGAAGTCACTGGGTATTTTGAAGTTTGTAAAATGCTTATTTAAAATAGTGAAATTGAAAATTTAATAACAAATATTATTTAAAAAAAGGAAAAAGAAAATCTTCTGGGCAGTCCCAAGCCCACTTCAAGTACATCATCAGCATCCCACTGTATAACCAACATCCCCAAGTGGAGCAAGCAGTGGTCCCAGTAGATGCCATCTGATGGAGGAGGCTGTCTTACCCCCTTCCCCACAAAGGTTGCTTGGATTCAAATCTATCCTCTACAGTGGTACCAAGGTTCTTGAACTTAATCTGTTCCGGGAGTCCGTTTGACTCCCGAAACCATTCGAAAACCAAGGTACGGCTTCTGATTGGCTGCAGGAGCTTCCTGCACTCAAGCAGAAATGGCGTCGGACGTGCGGCTTCCGAAAAACATTCACAAACCGGAACACTTACTTCCGGGTTTGTGGCATTCGGGAGCCAATTTGTTTGACAACTAAGCCGTTCGGGAACCAAGGTACCATTGTACTATACAGTGGTACCTCTGGTTACATACTTAATTTGTTCCGGAGGTCTGTTCTTAACCTGAAACTGTTCTTAACCTGAAGCACCACTTTAGCTAATGGGGCCTCCCGCTGCCGCTGCGCGATTTCTGTTCTCACCCTGAAGCAAAGTTCTTAACCCGAGGTACTATTTCTGGGTTAGCGGAGTCTGTAACCTGAAGCGTATGTAACCCGAGGTACCACTGTACACTATTTCATCACAAGAGCGAGATGCCTAGACATTCCCAGGGTCTCCTCAATGTACTTTAAAATAGAAACACCTCAAGCCTGAAACATACAGACCTGGTTCACCAGTTCATGCCTTAGTATGAATATGTGAGCCAAGAGAGGTCCTGGAGAGACCATAGCTGCTGCACTCCTTCCCCTGTCCTCCAACTGACATGCTACCCAGAGCCAAGCTATGGCTTGCTATTGCATCACATCTGAACCCAGGCTTGTGGTTTGTCTCACTCCAGACAAATGAGTTTATAAATTGGGTCTGGTTATGGTTTAGTGTTCCATGTGAACTGAGCCACTGAGCAGAAACCCCTTCTGAGAGCTAGGCTATTATCTACAAGAGAGATAATTTTAGTATACCAAGCAAGTACTGCTGCCTCTTAAATAAAAGGAGGAAGGGGGGAAAAAGGAAAAGGGAAACCATGTCTTATTGACAGCCTTTCACAACCTGGTGCACTTCAGATGGTTTGGTCTGCAGCTCTCCATGCTCTCCATCAGGCTCTCCATGCTCCATTTTATAAGCCAAACTGCATTACCCAATATTGATGCTAGGGATTTGGCCCATGGAAGTGCAGTGAGCACTGTGTTAAGTTAAGTAATAACACCTACTTTCCCTGTGTCTAGACAGCAACCGTGTGTGAATTCAACAAGCAAACACATTCTGCCTAGGGTCTGGCATACTCTGCGCTAGGAAGAAAGAAGTCTGCTAGCATATTTTGCTTGTTTTGCGATCTGGGTTGGTGAATGGAGAGCACTGCTCCACCAGCCAGATGTGGGCCATGGTTCTCTCCTTAGTACTCAAATAAATGTACCTTACAGAACCTGACAAACACTCTGATAAAAGGTTGGAAACTCAGGATTCCTTTAAGAAAGGGAACCTTAGCTCCTTCCCCCTTTTTATCTCGCTCTTGACATACAATCATACATGATGTTTCCCCTGCCTGTTTAATGCAAAATATATTTATACAGCATTATCAAGTGTTCAGGGCAGTATTAGAAAATGGGATATATAAGCTAGGTGCCAAATGGCTCCTTAAACCAAGATTTCAGTCGCCAAAATGCTTGCCAACTCAGAGTTCATGCTGCTGATTCCTATGCCTCGGAAAGAGCAGTGTGGTGTCATTCTCCAGGACCACACCCATGTGCCATGATCCTCAAGCCTCACTTCTGGCTGGGATGAGCATATGTCCCCCCAAAAGCCAGGTTGGTTGTGGCTCTGCCTCCGCAGCTGTTTAGCCAGTGTGTGCTTTTCTATGTAACAAAGACTTTTGAACACAGTGAGGAAGAAGATATTCGTCCTTGCTTGCTGCTGTGTTTCCACTCAACTGATAGAAAAGCATCAAATTCATCTTGCACTGCAAAAGGTCAACATGAAATTTATGTCAGAACTGACCAGCTGGCTCAAAGATCCATCTATTCCAGAGGTCCATTTATTACCCCAGGCAGACGGACATGCCCGTAAGTAGGATCTGAAAGAGGTGGCCTTTTTGTTCAGCAGAGCATCTGTAGCCACTAATACACAAACTATTAGCCACAGAACAAGTTGCCACTAATACATGGAACACAGTGCTTGCAACCATCACATGTAATTGTGATTACTACCATTACTGCACAGACACAGAACTCCTCCACAAACTTGCCAGAATCTCTCTCTCTCTCTCTCTCTCTCTCTCTCTCTCTCTCATATACACACCCACACCCTGACTATCTCTCCCACCCAGAAGAATTGCAAAAGTTGTTTGCAAGGCTGTCATGGCCCAGTACAAACACACCTGGACAACTCACATTCTAACTCGCACTTAGATGCTACACTGGACTTCTGGGACCAAAAGCAGCCTGAAAGGCAAGGTACCATTAGAGATCTTGAAATTATCATAGATGGGACTGGTCAGAGAGACAATAAATGAAGCACCCCAAAGCAGACATTGCAGTTTAAAATGACAAAACAAGTGTTTCCACCAACAGACACGCTCTCCTCACATAATGGTCTGCCAGATATTCAGCTGACTGGAACTTGTATAATGCTGCTTGAAAGGGCAAGTGTTCACTGCAACAAATGGACTTCTGATCAGATGCTCCATACATAAGAGAAACTGCAAGTTCTCAGGGTTTGGTTCACCAAAGCCCCAAGGGCTGGAAGCCTGGTATATATACTTCTGGATTTGCCTTTTTGCTTTGATGCTTTCATACACAACAACTCAAGGCCATGTTCTGAATTCAGCAAAGTGCATTCATGCTAGCATATTCACAAGTCTGATCCCACAACACCAGAGGATCATGTGAAGTTTCTAGTACCTTCAAGAGTTAAAAGCCATGCAACCCCCAAGCTGGACTACTTACTTTCTAGATCTCTAAATACAGTTCAAGTTGTAGTTGGAAACTATGAACAGCTGCAGACATTGCATTAAAGGCAAATGCAAACATGAATACTTATTGCTGCCTCTCCTACCCATAAATGCACTTCCCCCCCCCCCCCTGCCCTGCTATGAGCCCTAGCAAAACACATACGGCATGTGTACACAGGTAGGATTTCTGTGAACTCATGCATCCTGCAGAGGCCAATGCCCAAAGTTAAACATTTCTGTGGGCTCCATTTGCAAGGAGGCACAAGATACCGCCCTCACTTCCTCCACACAGGCTAATGAACAAAATGCATGCAAGCCAAGATGAAATCTGAGCAAACTCAGAAGCCTTCCTACTACATCCTTCCCAAATGGGATCAGCTCTAGACATTTCCTGGGCTAGTTCACTCTCTTATTATGGGCCTCATGTAAATAAATGTAAATTGCTGCTCAAGAAGCCCTGATCTGATTTCTAGAGCTTAACTGTGGCTATCTGGCACAACAAGAAGCACAACCGATATTAGATATTTTGTGACGATTTAGAACAACTCATTAACTCACCATTCCTAATAGGTGCTCTAGGAGCTCTTTTGGCATCCTACCTGCTTGTGGGAGAACTGGAAAAGCTAGTTGTTGCAGTTCCTAAATCCATGTAAGGACTGCAGCTACCTTGGAGAAGAAACTTGCCTTGGGAGATGAGCCAGTTCCAGAGGAGGAGTTGCCCCCATGCAAGTACTTTTCAAACCACCCACATATAAACAATAACACAGGAAGAGCAACTTGATACATGCTCCCTGTCCCCTAAAAGTAGTAAGGCACACTATCAAAAGGCAGGTTTATGTTTTCCCTAGGTCCTTCCCTCCACTTTCCAAATCTATTGCCCAAGTGCCGGAATATACATCAAGTCACCTCTTTAAAACAAATGCACTTAAGTATGGTCAGTTTTATTTTTATTTTTATTGGGGGGGGGGAGCAGCAGGAGGAAGGCTTGATCCAGAACATACTCCAATCTAGATTGGGACTCAATGAAAATCATTGCACCTATGGTTGCCTTTTCGCTGCTGAAACTGCCAGCTTAAAAAGTGGCCAGGTTAAGCGCACTTACCTGAACAGGTATTTTGTGCTCCAGTGTGCTGTGTAATTGGGATAACTAACATAGCATGCAAGGCAGTTACTTGGCCTAGAACCCATTAGAAAGCGGGAGACAGTTCCCTACCACCACCTAAAAGGCATACAAAACCTAGCAATCTGAAAGCACGTCATTGCAAGTAGATAAACAGGCAGTGGGAATGTGCTCTGGCATTTCCATGTGCTCTGACATCCGTCACGGGGTTCTGTTGCCCCAGAAGCGGTTTAGTCATGCTGGCCACATGACCTGGAAAGTTGTCTGTGGACAAACACCGGCTCCCTTGGCCCAAAAGCGAGATGAGCACCACACCCCATAGTCACCTTTGACTGGACTTAACCGTCCAGGGGTCCTTTACCTTTTACCTAACACTCATGGATGCTGATACAGCTATGAACACACAGCAGTAGAGTTCCCAAGTGCCTCACAACCCAGAAAGCAAACTATCAACCAGCATTTTCTTACTACTTCAGGTATGCAAGGCCTTAGGGAGGTGTCTCCACCCCAATCATTCAGCGGGAACACTGAGCTCCAGCTCTGAGGGCCTTCTCAGTTGCACCCAACCAGTGGAACACCCTCCCATCAGATGACTTTTAGAAGACATCTGAAGGTAGCCGTGGATAGGGAAGTGTTTAATGTTTGATTATTTTACTGTGGCTTTATAATTTGTTGGAAGCCGCCCAGAGTGGCTGGTGCAACCCAGCCACATGGGCAGCATATAAATGTTGCCGCTGCAAGTCAGCTGAGACAGAGCCATAGCTCAGTGGTAGAGCATCTGCTTTACTTGCAGAAGGTCCCAGGTTCAAGTTAGGGCAGGCAGAGATCCCTGCCTGAAATCCCAGGCAGTTGCTGCCAGCCAGTGTTGACAATACTGAGCTAGATGAACTATTGGCCTGACTCAGTACAAAACAGCTTCCTACGTCCCTAATTATATTTGCCATTCCAGGCCTGTTTATCCAAGCAGGATAACTCTCATCATCCCTGACTACTGGCCAGGGCTGATGCAGGCACAACATCTGGATGGCCATAGATTCAGCTTAAATAAAGCTCCAAAGGCGTAACCCTAATCATTTCAAAAACTTAGGCCTAACACTGCCCTCTTAATGAAAGGATGTATCTTAACTGGAGGAGGGAAAAGAGAGGAAGCAGTGGGAGGTTAGCACATGCAACAGACATTTAAAGAGGCACCACAAAGCCACTTCTGGCCTGCCCAGGAGGTGGGGTTGCGGGCTTCACGCCCACCCCACGTGAGCAGGGGCTGGTTTCAGCCCCCGCGAGATCAGGGGAATCCCGGCCGGGTCTGCCCCCCCAGCCAGCCAATCGGCTGGCTGGGGGGGTGTGGCCTGGGCTATTTAGGGCCGGCGCAGAGGGGGCTCGCCCTCTTTCCGCCGGCTAGCCCTAAATGTTTGTATCCAAAAGAAACAGCACTGGAACAAAATAATTAAGCCAGATGCATATATATAAGATAAGCTGGTTCTGCTTTCAACTGCTAAAAGGTTGCTAAAATATAGAATTTCTTGCAGCCTTCTACTTCAGAACACATTCCTCAGATTATTATCTTTCAACAAGCATACCAAAGTCTTTATCCCAGTTAGTATCTGTCCTGGATTGGAATTGTTTTGCTGTATGCGGCAGTTTTAAACTGTTTTTATAATTATAATTATAATTGTTGTTGTTTAAACTGTGTTTATATGCAGTTGTTTTATCTGTTATGTTATACACACACACAACCCCATCACATATAGAAAGATACAGAGATAATGGGGGAATATAAATTGCTTCAAGAGAGCAATCCAAAATTGTAATAAAGTAATCTTCCCAGATGGTGACGTGTTTAACAATTGTCAGCAATCCCTGTACACCTTCTCCAGCCCCTCCTATAACTTGATACTGTACTTAAAACATGACACTCGTCCAAGACAACAGGAGTCCCCTGTCTTCAAAACAACTGCAGAACACCCCCCATATACAGGCACTAAATAACTGTTTTACAGGCATTAAGTAACTCTATTTTGCAATATTCAGCTTTTGTGGGCTAACAGCTCTCTACATCAACCTTTGCCAACCTGGGGCATTCCATGTTTTTGGAATACAACTTCCATTATCCTCAACCAGTGCAACTCTCAATGTCTCCCCAGTTCCAAAGACAGAAACTAACAGAAAGAGCTTGCTCAACCCCGGCAACAAAGTGAAGAAGCTTTACTTTCTAGTAATTCCCCAAGTAGAAGTATTTGATTTTTCAAAATACCGTATTTTTTGCTCTATAAGACTCACTTTTTCCCTCCTAAAAAGTAAGGGGAAATGTGTGCGCGTCTTATGGAGCTAATGCAGGCTGTGCAGCTATCCCAGAAGTCAGAACAGCAAGAGGGATCACTGCTTTCACTGCGCAGTGACCCCTCTTACTGTTCTGGCTTCTGAGATTCAGAATATTTTTTTTCTTGTTTTCCTCCTCCAAAAACTAGGTCGTCTTGTGGTCTGGTGCGTCTTATAGAGCGAAAAATACGGTAACCATTTCTGAAGCCACCATTGAAAATAAATTGTGAGGAAAGAGAATGAAGTCAGGAAGAGATCCCAAAAGATCCTGAATTAAAAAGGGGGATAGAAGTATGGCTAGCAGCTCACCATCACCAGTTATGGGTAGGAATCCAAAACCACACTCTGATCATGCATAAATGGACACATTCAGGAAGCACATCATTCAGTAGCACTTCGCGACTTTCCTCCCAAGTTCTTGTGCACACAAGACAGAACACAGGAAGTGGTTTTAAATCAAGTCAAGCCATTGGTCAATCTAGCTCAGTATTGTCTCCATCAGTGGTGAGGAACCTATGGCCCTCTGGATGTTGTTGGGACTACAACTTCCATCATCCCTGATCTTGGCCATGCTGCCTGGGGCTGATGGGAACGAGGTGTTCAACATCATCTTGAAAGCTACTGGCTTACATTGACTGGAACCAAGCTCTCCAGGCCAGGGTTTCAGGAAGGGGCTTTGCTCAACTCTATCTGGAGATGCCAACAACTGGATCTGGAACTTCTGCATGTAAGGAATGTGCTCAGCTATTGAACTACAGTGCTTCCCCTGCAACATAGCAACACACACACACACACACGTGGAAGAGGGAAGAAGTTGCAAGAAGACTAAACAAACTCTTTCCTGGTAAGCATTGTTGAAAAACACACCTCCATTTTTCTTCTTTCTCCACTTTCAATCATGTTCTTCATAAGACTTCTTTATGCTTTTGCTTTTAAAAAAGCCGTAGACCTGAAAATGGGAAGTATGAACGCTAGCCACCTTAGTCATTGCCAAACTTGGATGTGTTGCCCCACATGTTCCAAATGCCCCTTACTCTTCCAATAGCTTCCTCTTTTTATTCACTGAACCCCTTTGCTTTGACACATGGACCCTTCTCAAGACCCACTTCTTTGTTAAAGTTTTTCCTAGCTTGAAGGTCAACTTCTAGTTAGCATCTTAGCTCCTTCCTGCACTGCTGAGCTCCCTCTAACCCATGTCGTCAATTCTCCATGCATCCATGACCTTTCACCTCACAGCACCTTGTCACTGCACACTGCCAGAGGCACAGGGCAGAGGTGTCGGCCAGTACGTTAGCTCTGCCTATCAGTATTTTTAATATCACTACTACCACCACCACGCCAGGTCCCAGGGAGGGGTTTCCACAATCTAAAGTTAAAACGGTTAAAATGAATTACAGTCACAGGACTAGGTGCTGCCAGATGCTGGACGTCCTCAGCCCCCTCTCACATTTCTGCCAGAGTTAGAAACATGACTCTATCCAAAGTCACAAGGCTAGAAAATTGCTCTAGCAGGACAACAGAGATTCTGCACTTGATCAGGAGCAGGCACGCCATGGACTTGCTGGCATGTGCCTATACCTTGGATACAGGTGGGGCTGGGTGAATCTTTTAACCACGAATTTAATCAGCAGCCATAGTTATAACCCTTAAGAGAGAGAAGGATGGACATCAATGTGGGGTGGGAATCAGGAAGCTTGGTAAACTCTAACTTGTGCAGGTGTGGGTTGAGAATGACACCCAATGGTCAAGGGGTCAGGATGCCCCCTTCCCTAAATTAGCAGAAGGAAAAGGTACTGGTTGTGCATAGCTTCCATGCACTTGAATTTATATGCCCCAGACACCTTTTCCTTGGTGGGTGAGAGCTTTACAGCAGCGTACCTTTGGATCCTGATAGCATTTAAGTTAACAGCAGCATCTGTTCCACTTGGCAAGTAGTCCAGTGGCCAGGAAGGAAGCGAAACACTCACACACTTTGCTTGTAATACAGCATTCAAAAAGAGAGGCCAGGGAAAAACTGTAACAAGACTGAGGTTTTAGTGACCGCCTTGACATTTTTTTTGCTAACTGGAGGATTTCAAAACAGAGGGCAAAAGCTCCAGGTCTGTTTTTCGTTCACCTGTTTCTCATTCTGGGATTTGCTCTCCCTGCTCCTACGCCGAGAATGTTTTGCTTTTACTGGAAAGGCATCTGCCTTTGCCAAGCGTAGAGCAAAAGCCCCATGCGATAGCTTTGTTCATTACTCAGCATGGACTTTGAACAGTTGCCACTCCCTGCGCAAGCAAGTTCCTTGTTCATGAAGAATGCAAAGGACACCGTACACCCTTACAGGCAGGCATAGTCCCTTTCCAAAGGCGGCCTGAGTTTCTTCCACCCTCCCTCCCCTCCGCCAGCTAGACTTTTGCAACAAAGCTTGGGCTGGCTGCACTTAGGGCGCGTCCCTCACCAATTAGAACTGGCCCAGGGCAGAAAGGCAGAGCTTCACCCCCAACATGTGTCACACACACAAGACTGGTTTAACTAGTTGATTTGATCTCACTTCAAGAGACTCACCTGGCTCCCTATCCCTACACACAGCCGCCCCCTGCAACTCCTCCAGGGATGTAGATTACATGCCTAACTAATCAGGACTCTAGTGTCCCAGGCTTATACTCACCATTGCCTCACCTGGCCATATAAGGGGAAAGCTGAGCAGCTCCAGGAGAGGGAGATAGGAAAGCAGTGATAAGGGTGTGGAAAGGAAGGGCTGACTTTGGAGGCCCCTCAAGAGAATGAGCGGAAGACATGAGATCAAGCGGGAGGGAAGGGAGTAAATCCATCTACTCAAGGCTCCGACATGCCTCAAGGACAGTTCAAAACACAATTCCATAATGAGGATAAATACATTTTATGCATGGGAAAGCAGCAGTTAAACAAAGGGGGGGAACTAGCTTTAGGATTAGCTGAGTGTGGGGCATAAACAGAGATCAAATGAGAGATCAAAACTCTAAGACCTATAGAATCATAGAGTTGGGACCACAGGAGTCATCTAGTCCAACCAACCCCCTGCTGTGTAGGTATATTTTACCCAACGTGGGGCTCAAACCGACAACCCCCTTGTGGTTTCAGTGCGGATCCATGTCTGTAACAGGAGCTGGCTCCTTTCCCTTTTCTGGAAGTTCAAGTTAACTTGGGGAAAATGTACAAAACCAGCTACAACACAGTTTTTGGGATGGGCTGGAGGAGCAGAAGAGTCCAACTCCATGAAGCAACAGCGAAGCACACACCAAGAAACATGAGCCCTGGCCTGCTCAGACCAAGGTTACACCCCACATCTGACAGGAAGGGAGCAGCAGTTCTGAGGTGGAGGGAGGAGGGGAGGGAGTATGGAGCATACACACAACAGGAAAGGAAATGGTGCCGAGTCGGCAGCAGAACAGAGGGAAGGGATTGTTCCAGTGGTATGCCAGCAATCTGACTGCAGGGCAGCTGTCCTTCTGGGCAGTCAAAGGAGGGTTTTGTGCGTCCCTGTTTGAGGGTTGCCTCACTGGTAAACGCCATGAATCTATGAACTAGAAAGATGTAGGAAAAGTGAGGTGTCCGCTCCCCATTTCTGAACAGCTTGTATCCACAGTCCCAGATAGCCAAGAATAGCGGTACCACCCACATTCCATCTGTGTTCAACAGGTAAGTTACAGAGGACCACTGTCAACATGCACCAGTGTGGAATGACTAGTCATGGGCTAGCTGCTAGCAGGATAACTGGCTAAGAGGCTGCAATGAGGAGGCATGGAGACTACAGACAGGTCACAATTAAGACAGCACAATAACTCTTGAGGCCACCAAGATCACACATTTTGGAGCCAGCCAAGCAACACCTGCCCATCTAATTAGTGAAGTCAGGACATTAGTGGTATGGGTGGATCCACAAGGACTGATCCCTTGTGGTAAGTAAAGGGAAAAGTGCACACAAACATAGCACCAGAGACCACCCATTTCTGGTGACAAAGCAGCATAAGAACAGAAGCACGCAATGGGAGCATGCTGGACCAGCCCTATGGCCCATCTAGTCCAGCATCTTGTTCTCACAGTGGCCAGTCAGATGCCCGCATGCAAGCTGGACCTGAGCACACCACCACTCTGGCCACCTGTGAACCCTTGCCACTGGTACTCAGAGGCATAGTCCTTCTGGCAATGGGGGCAGAACATAGCCATTGTGGCTGGTAGTCACTGCTAGTCTTATCCTCAATGGATTTGCCTCATCCATCCTCTTTTAAAGCCATCCACGCCAATGGCCACCACCGCCTCCTGTGGGAGCAGGTTCCATAATTTAACCATGTGCTGCATGAGGAAGTGTTTGCTTTGTTTCTGTCCTGAATCTTCCAACATTCAGCTTCATTGGATGTCCACAAGTTCTAGTGTTATGCAGGGAGGTATAGGCACCAAACTCATACGCCAGGTGTATGCCTCTTTCTCAGCAGGTTGGCTTTGTTCCCAGACTACTCACTGACAAAACCCTTAGTTGTTTTCCTGGCTCCCTTCACCTGCTCCATCCTTTCATTGCACTAGTGCTACAAACAACTTCATAGTGTGTGTGTGCGCACACACACACACACACACACACACACTGCGTCTCCTTTGGGGTGGGAGGAGAGGCAACATGCCAGAAGACTGACCACTGGGAGTCTGCGCTGCAGGCTTGCTCACTCCCCCCCTAGAATGGCTATAACTCTGAGCTACTTTGCAGGGTGAGTATAACCCACATTCTTTTAGCAGCATATCCATACCCCCCACAGTGCGGGTACAATAATGATAAACTTTACCTGTACTTGGAGAATATTTTTTTAAAAATGTTTTCCAACATTAATCATTTTAGGTTTATTAAATATGGTCAAGATCAGCTCCTGTCTTTGCTGCTACTTTTCGTACAGACACATTTCTGACCTATCAAAGTTATACTAGTCTGCATTTCCAAATTATTTTCTGTCCGCCAATCACTTTTCCACAAAGGAAGATGAAAAGAGCTTAGAAATGAACCAGGAAGTTCCTTCTCCAGATAATGGGTGAATCATTCTAGACTTCTTTCTGCCTTGCTTTCCTAAATGTCAGTCACTGCTATGACATCATTCATTAGCAAAACACCACTTCAAAGGCAGGACCAGGCAAGTTTCTTGCAAAGGGAATGGACAGTATAATGCTCTCACCTTTTGTCCAATGTTTTGGATTATACAGGGGCTAGGGCATAAATAATAAAAATCAGGAAAGTTGGAAATTTGGGGTTATGGTTCATCATGGAGAGGAGGGAATGTACTCCCTCAAAGACACCTAGGATCAGTGGATTAATTACGGTTCACAAAGTATACAGCCCCACAGCTGCTAAAACTATAGAAAATGCTTGCGCAAGTACAACTATTCATTGGGCCTTTGGGTACTTGTTAACTTGAAAAACCTAAACCAAGCACCACACTAGTCTAGTCATCAATGTAACTGTGGCTGATTGGGGAGTGGCATTTCTATACCTGAAGGTGGTACAGGAATGACTGCATATATCTGAGCTAGGAGTGCTTCACTGCTGCCTTAAATCAGATTATTACTAGTATTTATCAGCAGCACTGGTAGGATGCATATCTGTGACAGATGCATGCATCTACCAGAAGAACCAAGCGTTGTACACACTGGCTGTGTCCAACGTGCACTGGGAGCTCCCATAATTTAATTTACGTATACACAGCCACAGAAAAAACACACCAACCAAGATATCTCATCTCATACAAGTTCTATTTTCCTCCCCCTGAGAGGGAGGGGACAGATCTATGGATGAGGCAGTCAGTCAGGAAGAATTCAACGCTCCCAGCCTCCAAGCACAGGAGCTTTGCAAGTTGGGAGTTGAAAAATCTTTCGCAACACAAAAGGCCACTTTTCCCCCTCTGTGGGAATTTGCAGCTGAGCTCTGGGGACAAAGGGATTTCACAGGCACATACACAGACATCTCCCTTCTCTACGCGCCCCCCCAACCACCACCTCCCCTCCAGTTTCCCCATTTCCTGTCACAGTAGCACCAAACCTCAGGCTCAGAAACAAACAAACACAGAGTACTGGATTCTGGGAAACGGGCCAGAGCATTCCAGGGCAGCCTGGCCACCAATCAGGAGCAAGAGCTCCCACTTTACCCAGCAGTGCTCCTTATCATGTTAGAGGAAAAACAACCCTTCCTGGCTCCCTCCTCCTTCCCCACCCCAACCCCCACCCACCCTGCCAAAGCCAAGGCAGGATTTGACTGAAGAGGCGGCCGCTTGGCTCAAAGGGGCTGAAGCTTCAAGGATGTAGGGGAGAATGTGGAAGGAGAGAGGGAGGAGGAGAAGAACTGGTAATTACCAAGTTGGCCATTTTGCTACAAGAACGCCGCAACCAGCCATACGGCAACTCCTGGCTCAGCATTACCTATAAAAGCACAAAGCAACGTGGTGATAACATTCCACGTCAACACACCAGTCAAGATTCCCTGTACAATCACTTCGAGGCTCGGTGGGATCAAAACAGTCCCTTTGTTATAAAGGTACCTCAAAAACTCATTTGCAGGTGTTCCATTCCAGCACTACTCTGCTTCAAAAAACATTCAGGGAGAAAAGCCAGCTAGTTTTCAATTACAGCCTTACGGCAAATAGAATCTTGGCGTTCTTCGAGATAAGGCCCTGCCTATCAGCTGCACAGGAGCAAAGTCCTCTGCAGACAGCAACATTCGCCAGGAGGAATCATAGCCTGCCCTGGATACTGTCTGCAGGAAGCAGCCCCTAGGGAGCGGTCCGATGGCCAACGCCCAGCTGACTAAATTTTGCATGCTCTTTTCATGCCAAGGAGGGAAAGGTAGCTAGCACACCTACCTAGGCTTTCTGCATTAACTTTGGAGATAAAAGCTTCTTTTCTTCCTCCCTCTTTCACCTCAGCCAGAGGCTAGTTTGGCCTAAGGCACAGAGCATCACAACACTATATGGAGAGTTTCTGCCAAAGCAGCCAGTACCAACTTTGCAGGAAACTCTGCATGTTTGAGATGGGAGCAGCTGCCGACTGTGCTCCTGGCACCCCCAACAAAAGGCTGCCTGCCCTGGTGTCCCAGTTCCAGCTACAAAAGCAGCATCTGAAACCCCAAAACTGCTATCCTCCCTGCACCTAGCACAACAGAAGATAATTCTTAGGCCAAATGCCTATGTACACAAGGGAGCTTAAAACAAACATATACTTATGCAGGCTGGCTGCCATGCCTCAAACACTGCATCACAAGCATGCTTTTACCCATGGGGCACAAGCACGAGCTCTCTCAGCAAACCTGACATTCAGCCCTTAAAGGACCAGCTAGCTGGTGCTTGAACAGAGCGACAACCAAGTGAAGAAAGGTGTTTGGTCTCAGGTGCCCAAATGTTTGCGGCTGCCTCAGAGAAATTCAAGATACATGGCATAGGTCCATTTTCATAGCCCAGGAATGCAGCCCCACAATTTCCAGCAACAGCCAAGATGAATTTTTTTTGTGGAGGACCAGTGGCTACTAGCAACTGCAGGTATGATTGCCTCCAGTGTCGGGGGCAGGATGCCTCTGCATACCATTTGCTGGGAATCACAAGTGGGGAAGAATGCTGTTATGCCCAGGCCCTAATTGCAGGTTTCCCCACAGGCCTCCATCTGACTGGCCACTGTGAGAACAGGATGTTGGACTGGATGGGCCTTTGGTCTGACCCAGCAGGGCACTTGTGGAGTTGTGGAGGCTTGGTCTCAACCAAGGCACTGCATGAAGGAAATGCCTCCTTCAGTGCCCTGCAAATGGTTGCAACTAGGAACTGTGTCATCAGCTGGCTAAGCTACATCTCAGGAAGGAAAGGAGACAATGAATGTTGACTGCAAAAATAAATCAAGCTAGTAACTGATCTGAAGATGTAAGCTACATTAAGGGACAGCTTAACTTTTGAGAAAACCCTTTCTGCAGGAGCCTGCATCTTTTCCATTCGGGAATTCCTCAGAGCTAATAATTTCTTCAGTCGTAATAGTTACACAGAAAGCCTTGAGAACTGCAACAATCTTATCTGGAAATGTTGGGGGGGTCTATGCGGGCTTCCAATAGTTCCAAGTTAGTCCTTTACTGTACTGTTTGAAAAAAGCTTTTAACAAATCTACACACAAAACCCTCACATCCTTTCAATGCTCTGTGCTCTGTCAGCTGTTTCTTCCCAAATGTCAGTTTGAAAGTCTCCATCTTGTAGATTGGGACTCTAAAGGAAAAATGTAGAAAAAATAGATCATCATCAACCCAATTCTGATGGCAGAATGCGAGTTTCCTGGTCTCAGAACCCGGTGCCCCCTAAAAATACACATGGTTAACGTGTGCATGCCACAATGAGATACCGAATCCATCTTCTTGAAAATTTCAGCTTTCAATTAAAGAAATAGTTGTGGAGGTAAGTATGAAAGCATGGGGGGGCGCTTTGTGAAAGCTTGCAAAACAAGACTGTTGTTGACTAGGATTTCCAGTGATTGGAGGAAGGGTTTTCTGGGTCCCTCGTAGACTTTGCACTAGCCATTGTATTTACCTTTTCCGCACAGGACTTGGATTGTTAAAACAAGCTCCAAGCCCAGGCAGAATACACAGCCCTAACAGTGATGCTTGAGTCATCTTCTCCTTTCTTTATTTCACAAGCCCCACCTTGTAACGTCCCTATTCTCATAGACTGGATCACTGTGAGAGAGCAACATAAGAAGCTGCTCTTTACCAGGTCTGACTATTTGCCCATCAAGCCTAATACTGGTACACTATTGCTGACAGCAGCTCTTCAGCATCTATCCATCACCTGCTACCTGATCTTTTAACTAAACTGGAGGTGTGTGCGCCAGGGGTTGAACCTAGGGTTTTCTGCATGCAAAGCATGTGCTCTACCACTGAGCTATGGCCCCTCCCCACTTACATGGCACAGGGGCAGGACATACTCCTATCATGAAGGTGCTGCATTATGTCCTAGGGGTGATCAAAGACACACAGCATTCAGTCTAACTCAGGCCCCAACTAACCCCCAGAGCACAACTCAAAAAAGCCCCTGTGTCATAGCCCACGTGGTCCAGGCCATTTCCTCTTTCTCCAACCTGTATGCAAGATCAAAGCAATGTACAACCACCTGCAAACAACCTGGTAAGTTTGGCTAGCAAACAGGAAGAGTGTGGGCACAGATCTGGAATAACAAGTGCTGCAGGTCTGTTCTTTTGGTACATGCCACACGGCTGCACAAGAGCAGGATCAAATATTGCATGACGCCAAACTGCTGTGGGTGTGGGCTCTGGGCATTTTCATATTCAGGCACTCAAAACTGTTAGCTAGAGTAGATATGATCTGCAGCACTGCCCCTGTTACTGCCATCATCCCACTCTGCTGTTGTTGTTGCTGTTGTTGACAAAAGTCTTGCAGACACGGCACACTCTCTCCCAAAGGAAAAAAAAGAGGCTGGCCTTTGCAGTAACACCTACACACAACTACTAATAGAAGCATCCATTTCTCAGGACAGAAATCTTTTCTTTACTCTGTGGGGGGCACAGGACAAAGAGACGCATTACCTTCCACCTAGCAAGCACTGAACAATTTTAGGGAATAAAAATGTAATCTCACTATATAGCATGGCCACTCTTCACAAGCTTTAAGTATTTGATTTAATTCTGTTCTCAGGCTTTGATGGGAGGCCTCCTGTGGGGTGGGGGCAGGGGGGACAATTTCACTTTTCCAGGTCAGAAAAATCCGGCTATTTATTAAATCTGAAGGATCAAGCTAGAGGACATGTCACCGATGCAAGACACGCATTTCACAGGAATCCCCCTGCCTAGCGGATTAAGTCACTCAGTCCTCAGTTCAGTACAGAAATAGGTGTTCATTACAGCACTGGTGATGTTTTGGAGACATATCCGTTGCAGCATTTTGAGCAGGAGAAAGGATTATGCATCCCTTGAATCCCTCATACACATACACAACACGCTGTGCATCTGCATCCCACTGCAAATTTCGCATACTAGTCTTGGCCCAACCCAGATACACAAAGCCCAGCAAAATGAAAAACTAGCTACAGTTGAAATTAGGTGGCTTAAAACTAAAGAGGGATAGAGCCACTCATTTAGTTGGTGGGGAAGTGGGAGGAAACATCAACGTCATGCAAAAAGCTTTCAAAGCAAGTCCTTTTGTTGTTCAGGCAGAAAGGAAGGAAGCAAACAAGGATTTCCTGGTCAGACAGGAAATGACATTGTGTTTAGAAACTTGCAGGAAAGAGAAGGCAAGTTTGCCTAGTGAACACTAAATTTTGCCTTGCCTGAAAGGAACAAGGGTGCCAGGACGATTCTGAGGGAGCATGGCACTGACACCCAGACTTATTCCCCAAAGGATTCCTAATCTATGCTTTTCTTTTACAGCTGTGGAGCAGCTGCCTCCTTTAACAACTCCAGACTCACTCATACTCTCCGTTCCTCCTGCCAACCAGGGACACAAAGCTGAGCATTTACCTCCTAATGTTCCCTCTTTAAACATATTCATTTTACCTCCTCCCCACACCTCACTAGCTAAACACCAGAATGTTGTCACTCACACCTAGACCACAGGCACACCTATTAAGTTACTCCTTGACTTGAGCACATTAAACCTCAATCCTACTACCTGGCAAGTGACAGACACTATATATGGCGATATGCCTTCCTTAGATTGGGACACCAATGCACTAAAGGTTCCTAACAGTGAGAACATTTTCGGAACTCCCCTCCTATAGATGACTCAGATGTATAATACCTAGAAGCTGCTTATGACATTATGAGAAATCAGCTGTGTTATTTTCACAGCTACTACAGATAACAGTTGTGAGGTAGCCAGGCACCCTCTCATACCCAGACACATTACTCAATGCTGAAGAAATCTGATGTGACATTTCCTGTGTGCCAATGGCTGATAGGCCCACTCAAGGAGGGCATCAACAAGTAAAGGGCAATGACAACTAGCACAGTGGGTCCCACACATTTTTCCCCACAGATCACCTGAAAATTGCTAAAGGTCCTGGCAGACCACTTCTATTTATTTATTTATTTATTTATTTATTTATTTATTTTTATTATGCCTGTTGCAGCAATTGTAAAGCTCGCGGTGCTGTACCATTTTCAAAACTGTATTTTTATCTCTTACATTATATTTTATTGCATTACAAGTTCAGTTCCATAGAATTCAAATGGTAAGTGCTCTTCACAGAACCATGCTGCTGGCTAGTTGAATGAAGCTTGCGGGCCAGTTTGGGAACCCCTGGACAAGCAGACATAGGAGGGGGGAAATCAAAGGAGGTGGGTAGAAAACAGATGGATTATCAAAGCAAATCATTTCAACTCTTCTGGACGGGAGTGGCTCAAACAAGACATTCAGGCCAAATAGAAGCAAGTAGCACAGGCTTCTCCGTCACCTAGACAAAGCCAGCTTGCTTGATTCGTAAGCAAGGCAGTGGCAGCAGTGCATGCAACAACATGTTCAGAAAAAATGTATGTACTACTCTAGAGGGCAGGGAAAGGGGCGTGCCGATTAACATGCAGACAGGACTGTGCCGAATTGCCCTTCCATTAAAGGAGGCTGGTTTCAACCACGGGAGGAGTAGGGGGTTGCTGATTTGAAAATATTTCCAAGGCCTGCAACTCACTAATGTTGCAATACGGCTGGTCTCTGGGTATATTAAGCAAGAGTTTCCCCCCAGCAGGAATTTGGAAGGGTGGGAGGGGAGGAGAAGGGGGGTGGGGAAGCAAGAGACCCTATTCAGTTTAGCTTGCTGGTCACTGTAAAAATCCTGTATGTAAAAAAAGACAGAAACCCCCCAGCCCCCCCCAAAGGTAATGGTATCAACTTTTGCCCTCTTTGTGGTAAATGACAGTAATCTCTATAAAGAAGATGGGCACAATCATGTTTTCTGCCACCTTGGTTCTTGGGCTGTTTCACCCATTATAGGCCAGCAAACCCAGCTTTGCCACCTGACAGGGAGCTGCTGCCAACCCTGGTGCTCCACTCAACCTTTCTGCACTTTCCAGATGTGTGTATTGCACGCGTTATATTTTTATGCATGAATCGGCTCTTAATCCGTATGTCATGGGGTCAGAACCAAACCTTAAAAGTCTATGACAACATTGGAATCCAACCAGTCACAAAGGGTTAGCCATCGGCCAATCAAACACAGCATCGGAAAGCGTAGCACGGGCATATTTCACAGCAGGAGAGGCCCACCAGTTGCAAAACCACAACTCTCATCATCCCCAACCATTGGCTGTGCTGACTGGGGTTGATGGGAATCCAACAACATCTGAAGGGCCACAGGCTCTGCCCCTGTGTTCTATAGGTTGTTAGGGCTTTTGTTTTTACTTGTGGAGAATGCAGCAGCAGCAGAACTGTCTGGCAAGCCACACTCTGTGTTTGGCTGTGTTTGGAGATTGTGGGTGCTGGCAGTAGCTGTAAGTTGAAGAACTGAAGAAGGGTGTGTCACGAGGACTTGCTTCTACTTAGCCACAAGAACAGCCAAGGCTGCAGCTAAGAGAAAGGCCAGGAGATTGGCTTTCTAATGGCAATATACACCATCAGCAGAATCATCCCAGTGTTACAAAGTCAGTTTGAGCGAGTCTGTTTCCATAACATCACATGCACCTTCCCTACATTTGCCCTGAAACTAGGTTTCAGGAAAATCAAGAGGGAGAACTAATGGTCTCGCTGTCAGTAGTGGTTTGTTCCTCCCAGCATCACCATTCCACTTGTCTTGTCTCCCCAGACCTGTCTCAGAGTTCCAGCTATAAGAAGTGAAGCCAGAAGGCAGCACTTACAAGTCCATACTGGGAATACAATATCCACAAGACTCCCACTGTCCTCTGTTCCCCACCCAGAATGTCCAAAGTCCAAGTCAACTACATGGATGAGCTAAAGTCTCACTTGAGAATGACAGTTGAGAGATTTTGCAACGGAACTAACATGCGCCAGCCTGTCAGAATATGTTGCAGAGCAGGACAATTAGGTAAAAATAAAATTTCAAAAATCTTCAAGTGTGCTTTTACAAAAGAGATAAGTATGCAATTCTTAACTACAGGTTTGGCTGATAAAAGGTATTTCTTATGCATTTTATGGCCATCCCCATTTCTCACACAGCCAAAGAGCTAATGGGGATGTGGGGACAGCAGAAGTGTATCTGAAGGAGCTTGCAAGTTACAATTTTGACCAGACGGAGAAGGGGGACATAAGACACCCAAGGAACAAATAAATGGAAGTTAAGGATAACAAGGCATGAATGCAAGCAGGCTCTCTTCCGTAATTCACCCGATGCTTTCTGAATGTCCTGCCCACTTTCTTCTTCTTAGTTCTTGTGGTTGCATACAGCCCACAAAATAGGAAACACTACTAGAGGGTAAAGCCACCATGGTTTGTACTTCCCTAAGTCAGACAGCTGTGGCTCATGCTTTGATGACTCAGGTAATGGCAACCACCAGATCTATTCCGCAAGCTCCCCTCCTGTCACTAAACCCAGAATAGCTCTAAAAGCAACTCAGAAGCCCCTTGATTAGCCAACACCCCAGCAAGTCCTACTTCATCATGGAGGAATGTGCAAGCATCACTGGTATTGTCACCATCCCTTAATGACCTCCATGACATTATAGGATTTCAGCTCCAGATCTCCAGTTTTAGTATACAGATATCCGGATAAGACTAACAGCAGTCAGTGGGTGTATTTATAAGAAGCAAAGGGTTTCCAAATTCTTTTGAATCTGAAGACCATTCATTAACTACCGTCTTTCATCAGGCAGAACACTTACGAATAAAACCACCACTCTACACCACTTAACCTTCCCTTCTACTGTACCTAAAGTAGAACCTAGCAGAGGATGATCTCCCAACCAAACATTCTTACAAGCTATTAAGACAAACTCAGTTTTGAGCGACGTGGAAGCAACTGCTTCAATTGCAAAATCCTATGGCAAGAACAAAGACAGCCAAGTTCACACAGTTCATGTTACAGAATCATGAACCATTCACTCCATTCTCCCTGTTTGCCAGTCCAACCCACCCTGCTCCTACTACCCACTGCTCCTGCTGGCAACAATATCACAGTAACTCATTAAACCTATCTGGCCTTCCAACTACTGATATCAGCAGCTGCACAGATAACACTGTTCAATTCATGTGGGGGGGAAGCCATTTCAACCTGCAGACTTTCAATACACTCTCCTTTTCCATTTACAGACAGTTTGCAAGTCATTTTATCAAAGGGACACTTGCTTTCCACATGTATAAATAATTAGCTTGGCAAATTTCAGATTCAAGGACAAGTATAAAAATAAGTAGAAGTCCACCCAGGCCCTTTGCCAGCATTTCAGAAACAACAAACATGATTGTGGATGAGATCTTTCTACCATGCAACTAGCCGCACACCCAAAACTCAGCAGCTGCAAGATTTCCAAGCTTGCCACTTCCTCACTTAAGCCCACTTCGAGATTTAAGCAAATGAAAAACTGCAGAAGCCATCCCAGCCAGGTCTGCCACTTCTCAAAAATGAAAGTTAGGAGCACTATATGCAGATATAAATATAGAATATCCCCATCTAGAGCCAATATGAGGAGAGGAACCAAGTGTGGTATGGCAAGTTCCGCTGCTATTGCCTGTTCCTGTTCAACCCTGTCCCCCACTTTACCACTGAGCTGTCAAGACACATTTGTTCTGCCTTGCATCACTGTCCTCTCTCAAATTTTCAACCTTGCTTGCTAAGCACAGAAGCCTGTCCCCAGCCCATTCCAGATTACTATAGGCTTGATGAGAGTAACACAAGGTGTGCAAAACCAGTAGTGCAGCTAAAATCCAAGATGCACAAGGCTGATGCTCCTTTTATCAGGGATGGGGAACCAGTGACCCTTCAAATGTTGATGGGACTCAAGATTCCCACCAGACCCAGCCAGACCACCAAATGCCCAGGGATGATGGAAATTGTACTCCAGCAGTAACTGGAAGGTCACAGCTTCCCCACAATCTTCAGATTGTGGCCCTTTATGGCAGCACCATGTTTATCATGCTGCATCCCATCCTTTCTGAAAGGAGCTCTAGATGGCACATTTGGGGTTATTCCATTTTATTATAATCACAACAGCCCTGCAAGGTATCTCAAGCAGAGATTAAGCATGCAGTTCCTGACTACAGATATAGCTAACAGATGACACTTCTTATGGATTTTATAACCAGGGGACCTTTTGGCTAAGTAACACAGAACTACCTTATTCACATGCAACACTGTCCACTACAATATAGTCCTAAAAAGTTCCTTAGCTCAGGAAGTTAAAGTTTATTATGACCTTCTCTTAAGGTGGGAGCTGCAGCTGCCTTTCTACCATCGATTTACTGCTGGCCTTTGAGAAGTCATGCTTCTCTTTAAAATGGAGGTGAGGGAAATTCCCCTCAGCATGTGCTCAGCCTAGCACACTGCCCCACCCCAGAGTGCAAGCAAGCAGTCTGCAACTCAGGTACCAGAGTGCTGAACTTTGCTTCCTCAAAAGGCGGCCATGAGCTTTACAGAGTACTCACATGTGTTTACGTGCTACTTTTCTGAAAGGGTTTCATGTTCCCACCAAGTCATCCACTAGGCTGGCCAGAAACATTTTTGGTCTCAGTCCATACAGGTGCAGAAAAGGAGTCAATGAGTTTTCAATGGTTCAGTCTATTTACTCCACTCAGGTGGAGCTTAGGTGATACCCCACCACCCGCCAATTTGTCCCTCCCCACCACCCCAAAGGAACCACTGCAAAAGCATGAGGGCTAAGCTATATAGGATCCATCTCCTTTGCCACAAGAAACCTTCACTTTGTTCACGAGCTTCTCCCTCCCAAAGCCTGGACTATAAAAAAGATCAGTGGCTGCTCACCTCTCCAGGAAATGTATATTCAGCCCAAGTGGTACTACCACAAAGCAAAAGGGGAAGAGAGATAATGGCAAGAGCCCCATAACTACCAGTCCTTTGATATTAAGGCATTTCTCTGTAGATCTCAAAGGAGGCAGGGAGAGTGCCTGCACTCTGCCAATCCCATACTTCCTTTGTACTGGAGGACAGGACAATCTCTTCTTCACTGCACGCATTTGTTCCCATTGGCAGAAAGCCAGGATTTCTAACATTTTAGATATATATGATTGTGTTATAGGGAAGACTTCTGAACTCACAAGCTGCCCTGTCTTGTTTTGTTAGACCCAAACACAGAAAGCCCCTCCCTGCTCCTTTTTGAAGTGTCTTTGTGTTCGGGCCTCACAGAGAGTGAGCTTTCTTAAGGGCTTGGTGGCCAAGGCAGGTTACTACTGTACTGCAATTCCACTGGATTCTCTACCTCAGAGGACCTGGACAAGCAACAGCAGAAGAAACAAAATGGCACAGAACGGACAGTACAGGAACTCAACCAACTCTCTCCGACAGCTGCATTGTGAATTGCTCCTCCTTTTGCTATTCTATCCACTCAGCACAATACGGGTATGGTGGTCTGTGAAAATTGCTTTTGGATGTTAGCATCTTTGTCTGGGATCCACATCCTCCACAAGATCCAGAATCCAGAGCATGCTTTCCCCAGGAATCCCCCTTTGAACTCCTGTCTTGAATAATAAGAAATCCAAACTATAATTACAAGTTCTATGGGGGGGGCAGGTATTCACACATCCCCGATCACCGCACTTTTCTAGAGTTAACAGAGGCACATCTCTGCCCAAAAGAAGCCTAAAATTTAACAATGGGAGAGGACAGTAGGAAAAACAAGAGAGGGGATGGATGAAAGAATCAGATAAATGTGGGAGCAAATGCAGTTAAGTTTCTTACAAAGATTTCAGGGTACAGCTAACCAAGATCCTGAATGCCGACGGTACTTCTGACTGGTGGGAGACCCATCCTAATGAAATATAAGCCTAAGCATCAGCTGGTTTCATGAACATTCCTGCTTTTATAGAGACGCCCCCAAATATTTTAACGATTTAGGGAATAAGTGGTAAAAAAAAAAAAAGTTCGCAAGTCGCCTGAAGGCTAGCCGACGAAAAGGCTTCAGCGTTTTTGAAAAATCTCAACCCTTTAAAACAAAGGCAAGGTTGCTTAGACCAGTAGATAAAAATCCAGTTACCTCTCAATGCCCGATGGCAAAAGGCCCACTCCCCACTCCCTGAAAGGCGGAGGCTAGCAGCCCCTACTTTAAAAAAAGAAAAAACAAAGGACTTTTGCGCCCTTCTACCCGAAGAGTCGAGTTCCGAGCGGCTCACTAGGGAGTCCGTTTCGAAGCAACCTCTGGAGAACAAGAGAAAGAGAAAGAGGCCCCCACCCAAACGCACCTGGGGAGAAGCAAAATGGGATCCACCCAGCCCGGTGCCTTTCGGAGCGCGTTTGACACGGGAGCCGCGAGGGAGAGCGACGCGCGCGGCCCAACTCCTCTCTCTCTCCTCTCTTCCGAAGCGGCACCTTGGGAAACCGGGGGAGGGAAACCTCCTTCCCCAGGAACTCCCCTCACATTCCTCTCCTTCAGTCGCCACAAGAAAGGGAGGGGGAGGAGAAAGGGGGGAGCCAGCAGCCCTCCAATGCACACCACCTTCCACACAACACAAAAGTTTTTCTTCAAGGGAGGGAGGGGAGAGGTGCTTTTATTGTAATGCACCGCCTTACCTTTGTCTTTTTTGCCCCCCGCACTCTCCCCTTCGGGAATCGCGCAGCCCCTCTCTCGAATGCTAACTAAGCAAGTTTTACTTCTTCCCTTCTTACAGGTTTTTGTTTTTTTTTTTAAAAAAGAGGCGTGTGGCGGGGAGGGGGGGCTGGAGAGAAGAGGCAGGCTTTTCTTTTCTCGCGTCCGTGAGAGTCGCCGCCGACCCAAGTGCTCCTCAGTTTCCTCCTCTGATCATTCAGCTTGACAACTTCGTGTAGAGACTGCACGGGACCAGACGCCTTTTTGTCCCGCTGCAAATGCAAGGCAGAGGGCGAGCGGGAGGGGGAAATAATAAAAAAAGCGTGCCGTTTCCTAACAAAAGCACTAAAGACTCCAAGAATAAAATCTCAAAGGGAGCTTTTTTATATATATAAAAACACCAGCGGCAGCGCGCGCACACACAAAAGGCGACGAAAAAAAAACCCGAGGAGCGCTGCAGCGATCTCCTGCTCCTCCTCCTTTTCCTGCGGGACCTTTTCTCTCGCTTTTTCTTTCGCCCTCCCCCCCTCGCTCAGCTCCAACACCTAAAATGGAAGTTGCACCCAGCCGACGGCAAAGGAGGCTGGGTGGTGACAAACTGTGCGCTCCAGCCCAGCCCCTTTTTCCCTAAGTGATGTCAGCTTCTGCACGGCTCCAATGGGAGGCAGGCATCAATCAGGGAGCCGAGGCTATCCAATAGGAAACTCCATTGTAGAATTTCTTTTTTAAAAAAAAAGAGAGGAGAGGAGATACAGACAAAAAAAAGGGGGAACCGCATAAGAAGGGAAAACAAGGAAATATTGCTTAAAATAATAAACAAAGCCAGGTTTCCATTAAAAGAGACAGGAACGCTCTCCATCCCTTTACATTGCAAGGATGCGCTCACATTGCAATTCAACATGCAAAACTTCCGCCGGTGGCAATGGAGGAAGATTCCCGGGACCGAAGTCAATTTTTAATTATTTGCGTTTCCTGTCTTCGGCGAGCTTTCGCAGCGCCTTTACACTTCGGTCCTAGGCGTGCTTACTCGGAAGTAATTCCGATGAATTGATCGCTAGGAAGCATCGCCACTGAATTGCAGCCACCTCTCGTGAGGCTAAACGTTGACTGAGGCGGCGATCCCGCTGGAGTTCGACGGGACTTGTTTCCTTGTACTGTAAAGTGCGCCTAGGACTGCAGCCTTATTTGTTCTTGTGGGCGCTTTCCTTGCACTTTGCATGCAAGCGCTCCATCTCCGGAAGGGAGGAGACGGGCACTACCTATAACAAAAGGAATGCAGTTTCCAATCCTACCTTGGTTATATTAGGACTCCTTTGAAACGCACATGGCCAGATAATCAAGTCTTCCTTGGCAGCATTGTTAATTGACATCAACTGACAGAAATTTACTCTCGTTCCCCCCCGCCGCCCCTTTTTCTGTGGTAAATCAGCTTCTTTGTCTCTTTTATTGGCCTGTGTTTGGAATTTACACAATACAATACAATACAATGCGTGCTTTGATTTCTTTTTTATTGTGTCTCCAATACAATACTGCCGTCCTAAACATGCATGAAGCTTGGTTCTGTGCCGGCTAACTCAAAAATCAATCCCACTAAATTTAATCATAAGGCAAGATAGAAATGCTTGGAGTAATGCAAGGAATTCACAGAATTGCACCCCTGTTAGGAAATATTCTGCTGAAATTAATGGGATTACTGCTGCTGAGTAAGGATGGACTGGAACATTTTGCAAGGTGCAATAGCAGAAGAAACAGACATGTCATTATAAATGTTGTCATAGTCTCTTCAACATCACTGAAAATCATATGCTGGTCATAAGTATGTAAACTGCCTTGAAATTCTCAGTCATTTCTCATTTTTACACATGAGATGACCTCTGATGAGATCCAAAGGCTCTTTCACAGTATTGATGCTTTGCTGCTGGTCCACCTCATCTGCCATTTTTCAAAGCCATATTATAAATGTAACAATTACAGTTAAGACTGAAAATTAGGCTGCACAATGAGACTTCTGAATAAATATATTTAGCATTACACTGTTATAGGTCCATCATACACATCAGGGCTAACAAAAAAAAAATTGGTTGAGGGCTTCATTCCTTCTCCAGACCATATTCTGGCAGTGGGCATAGCCCAGGATGAAGTTCTCAGTTATCCAGTCCAGAACAAAGGCTACCCTGTTTCAGTCTCTACCATGACCAACTTAGATTAGAATATTTATTTTATGCAGGTCAACTCAGAAGTTAGCGATACTGGGTTTGATGAGGTTACTCTCAAATAATATGAAAATATATTTATAATAGGTCAATACAGCTACTATTCCAGAAAACAAGTGAAATTAATTCCTTTCTGATTTTAAGGTGCCATACAGAAATAGAATCAAACATCTATGTATGAAGCTACCAATTTTTTACACAGCAGAGGGAATAATGTATTTTCTCCAAGCCATACACAACCAGGATTCTATAAGTTGTTTTTACATGTGTGGTTAACAAAAATGCACACCAAAAATATTCACAAAAATAATTGTTTATTTGTAAATGCTTAATAAATGGCAATATGGGATAAATTCCTGTTTTTCAGTGGTTTAAGGATAAGTTTAGGATTTGTAATCAGAGATCCATCTATCATGTACAATTTATAGCAAAGGTTGGTCATCCATCTGTCATGGATGCTTTAGCTGAGATGCCTGCATTGCAGGGGGTTGGACTAGATGACCCTTGGGGTCTCTTCCAACTCTACAATTCTGATTCTAATAATTGTTATAAAGCTTATTTTATATCTAACCAAAAGGTATACCTTTCTGAGCTTTCACTGTATTCTGCCAAATACGGTATATACCGTAATAATGACACACACTCAGTGCAAGCTCAGTGTCAGCCCCTAAATCAGTGATGGGGAACATGCAGCCCGATGTTGGGACTACAACTGCCATCATCCCTGGCCATTAGCTGGTACTGATGGGAACTGGAGTGCAACAACAGATTCCACACCCTTGCCCTGCACCAGAGAGGAGTAAAAATGTGACGAGTGCCATATTAGATTGAAACAATCTCTGGGCAGACAGTGAGCGTGTCTTTCACAAAACGAAAAGTGCACAGCACTTGTATGTTTGACATTCAGTGCTTTAAAAAAAATCAGGGAAATTCTACACATGCTCAGAGTCAATTGATCTAAGGTGTCAGCATGTTTGAAAAGAAAGGATGGCAGTCTTAATTATCTACATTTGAACATGCTTTTAGACACTTTATTGAGACTTTAAAAATCTATATGGTTAGGAGTGATTAAAAAGGGGGGGTTGTTCTGTCATTTTAATATCAATTTAAGGTACACAGAAGATTGCTGTGCGCTCATATGGCCAGAGTCTACATAGGTTAATGGCACTGCAAGAGAAAGCGATCATTATTATGGAGTAATTAATATAGAAAAAAGAAAGTGGATGATGATATAACATGGAAAATAATGATACTTTCCCACATAGTACCCAATTAGTGCTCAGACTGTTCATTATGATCTGATCATCTGACCAAAGTTTCCTACAGATACGTACTGCAATAATAACTCAAAACCCTCACTGATTTGTTACTTGTAGTTTTGGCCAATATATAAACTTTGCAGAGAGTTAACAAAATCAGCAGGAGCTTTCATGCTGGGTTATATTCATTTGGGTTAGATCTAGATAAGCCATTTAAATATGGACAATCAAGTTGATACCACCTGTTAGGTGTTAAACTGATTCTACTTTTTCAACACTATGCGGTAAGTACAGGTTTATCAATGCCAGTGTTTCTCAAACAGTGGACTGCCTCCTGGCTATGAAAACAGTATCAGAAAGCTGGAAAACTTCCTCGAACTTCACAGTGAGCAATTGGTATAGCTGTGTTTGGTGCCTTGCTCTCTCTAAGAAACAAACACATAGCATCAGGCACACATACTCACAGAGTGGGACCCACCATGGGCCTTAGGCCACTTTCAGGAGGGCCTCAATGTCACAGCTTGCTTAGTGCCCCCTCACTGGCCTGCCCCAGCCCCATAACCTATCGCAGGGGTGTCAAACTCAAATTCATCGGGGGCCGCATCAGCAGTTTGGTCACCCTCAAAGGGCCAGTTGTATCTATAGGACTCAATATGTGCTCAATATAAAAACAAGTGGAGGTTTCCTGAATGCATGTAAAGTGGAGGTTTCCTGTGTAGAATCGGCTGTGCGTCAGCTGAGGCGCAGGACATTCTGGCATAGCTGCAGCTGCATGTGTTGAGGCGGCTTTCTGCGTCAAAAAGGCTGAGAGTAAAGGATGAAGGCTAGCGGCCATGCAGTGCTTGACACAGTCACATGACGAGGTCTAGTGGGCAGATTCGACCCATGGACCTTGTGTATATGACCCCAGTCGGCCTATCGGATGGACCAGCAGCTCCTTGCACGCTGAGTCAAGGTGGTCTGAGTTCTGAGGGGGAGGAGGAAGGAAGGTCTCTCTTCTCTGAGGGGAAAGGGCCAGAGGAGGTGTAGAAGGAAATTAGAAAGTGATAGGGAAAGTTAAACAAACCATCTGGGGATAGAAGCAAAGGGAGATAGCAGAAGAAAGCTGTTACAGGAAGAAAAAAAGTGAATGAGAAAGGACACGCGGAAGGGCTGAAAGAAACTGACAGTTTGGGATGGCTGCGGATTAAGGTATAAATTGAGTTCAGTGGTACCTTGGGTTAAGAACTTAATTCATTCCGGAGGTCTGTTCTTAACCTGAACTTAATTCATTCCGGAGGTCTGTTCTTAACCTGAAACTGTTCTTGACCTGAAGTACCACTTTAGCTAAGGGGGTCTCCCGCTGCTGCCGTGCGATTTCTGTTCTCATCCTGAAGCAAAGTTCTTAACCCGAGGTACTATTTCTGGGTTAGTGGAGTCTGTAACCTGAAGCGTCTGTAACCCAAGGTACCACTGTATGGGAGAAGAAATCACAGAAGATTGGTAAAAACACTTTGAGAGAGCCACTTAGAGCCTTGGACACAGCAAATTCTGCCTAAAATAGGGAGTAAAATCCCAAAGAAAAATCCATACCCGCTGCCTTGTGGGACATCTTCGGGAGAAGAAAAGGCTAAGGAGGAAACCATACTCAAATCCGGAGTGGAGTTCCTAAGATGTTTGGATGGTGTCTTGTACACTTCCTTCCGGCAATCCCTGCAGCCAAGTTGGTGCCGAATGTATTGCTCTACTTTCCTTCCCCAAGAAGTCAGAAGCATTCCTGCTACCTATAATAGGACAGGAAATTGCAAATAAAGTAAAAAAAAAACCTCTTCCTTTACGCAACAGCAGCAGCAAGACTCTAAAATTTGGAAGGAGAGGAAAATCCCTACTGAAAACCAGTGATAATAGAATAAAGTACCGTATGTAGATTTGGCCATGATGACGGCCAAAATAAGAAATACAAAGAGAAAAATAGTATTAAGTGGGAACAACTAGAGGCATATTTAAAAAGAAGCAGTATAAATATAAATTTACAAGTAGGGTTAAACATATGAACACCAGTATACATCACAAAAAGTGAAAGATAAGAGGAGGGAAGGACTGGAAAGCTTTAGGAGTTGCAACAAAACAACACATACAAAAAAATGTATTGCTCAACTTTCCTTTGGACCAAATCAGCAAGTCCAAGAGGGGGCTCTTGTTGTCTGGGCAGCCCAGGACTCACATACATGTCATCATATCTTCAGAGCAAATGTCTATACTTAACTTGAGGAAAGCTAAGCTATGGAACTCCTTGCCACAGGGAGGCTGTTATAGCAAATAATTTAGCAATTTCCAAAGATATCAATAGAAAAAGCTGCAAGCTGAATAGGACAATCTCTGCCTCCATCTTACCACCATTTTTTGATTGGCTCTGCTCCCAGACCACAGTTTTGTATCTCCCGCCTGGTAACAAATGTGCCCACTGTGGAAGGACGTGTGGATCCAGAATTGGCCTCCACAGTCACTTACAGACTCATTGTTAAAACCATGTTTACGGAAGACAATCTTACTCTGCTACAAGTGATCGCCAAAGAAAAAAAGAAAGAAGAAGAAGAAGAAGGCCCTCAGTAATCTCAAGTGATCTCAAGTGGGCCCTCAGGGTAGA